TTGAATGACAATTAAAAAAATAAAAGAATTTATACATGTATTTATCGCAGTTAGAATAAAAATGTTTGTTAAAAAATAATACAGGAGAGAAAAGATAAAAATTGACAAGTGAATATTTAATTGAGGGCAAAATATTTTTTTGAGTTTTTTAGTAATATTTTTTGGTTATTTTTACATTGAGAAATAGGAATTTGTATTATAAAAATATGTAAATGACTAAATAAATTGATAGAGAGGGGGGAGTCAATATGTAAAAATACAAAAAAGATAAGAATTTTGATAAGGAAATGTTTTGATAAGAAAAATAAAATGCATAAAATTGGGATTTTCTTAAAGAAAATAAAAATCTAAAGCTTTTTGATGATAAAAAAAAAGATTTTTTTTTTTGAAAATGTGAAAATATAAATTGAAAAATTGTGAAGGTAGGAGAAAACTTTTTCTTTGCTTTGATTCAAATTATTTCAAAAACACTCGTCAGTTTTTAGATGTATTTGAAGGATTAAAGGATTAGAATATGAGAGATTATTCCCCAAGTAAATGTCCGGCCCAACTAAAGGTTCGCCAAAAAAATAAAAACAGAAATTTTATGTCCGATTAATAAATAGACAATTAACATCCGTGCCACCTACCAGCCGAAATGGATTGAAATAAGTATGAAAATCAAAAAAAGGAGAAAAATACAAAACGGCTCTAAAAAATAAGGAAGTCCTTATACAGTTTGAATGGGTATTTTAGAAAGTATTTTTGGAAATTTTCTTTAGTATAGGTATATGTATATCCCACTACCCCAAACATTCCACAAATTATGCATCTTCTTCCGTTATTGACAGCCTCAAAATAGCATCAATAACTCTTTGTCTATTTGCATCACACATTTGAGATAAATAATAACGAGAAGCTGAATTATAGCCATCTTTGACTAAACCAGAAATTTTACGTTGTCCATTTCGAGTTATATCTCCCTTCAATGCACTAGTGCCTGCATACTAAAAATTGATAAAATTAAAGAAGAAATTTACTGAGAAATTTAATAGTCAAAACCTGTTTAGAAATAGAATCTCCATGATCTGCCCACATTCGCTGCAATAACCGCACAAACTGTTCAGGAGCACTAGCCTCCGCTTCAATAATTCCCAACTTTCTACATTGAATTAAACATACAGCCTGGGAAATTGCACTTTGGACAACATTAGTTCGATCTAGACAGTCAATACAATTCTTTAAAAATTAAATAATCTTTAAGCAAAAACTTTTTTAAATTCCCAACCGTTCTGATTATTCCTTTTTGCCGCATTACTACTTTCCCACTTTTATCAATCCAACAAAAACCAATTGATCCAATTTCTTCTTTTAATGCCTCCATTAGTTCTGACAGTTTGTGATGTCGTCTATTGCCACAAACTCGATGAAAATCAAATGAATGGTAGGTGACATTGTTACAATTAAAAGCCAGAATGTGCTAAATTTAAAGTTTATCGATTTGAAATGTCTTTTAAAGTTTGAGCTCGCTAGAATACACCCGTGGAACTGAAAAATCATAACTTATCAGATTTTTATAGTTGCATGTCCCACCCCCAGTGGTCAACTAAATTAAAAAATGCTCGTAGATTGGAGTGTATCTACTAGTATTATGATTATAGTGAGACCTGACTTTATGTACAATTCTTTATAACAAAAGAAGATTTAAACAAACTTGAAGATAAGCATCACAAAGAATAGCTTCTCTCCCTGTTTGATCAGCCAAATTTACAATAACAAGTGGAATTGAGTATAAATGTAGTAATTGTTCAATGTGGATGCTAAAAGTGGGCAATGATTCTTCCAAAGGGCGATCAATAACAAGTGGAGGTTTTAGACGATAACCTTTTTGGCTCCAAAAAACTGGGACTGAACCACGACACTAAAAAATATAAAAAAGATTTTAATAGATTTTTATTAAATCCAAAAAACCTGTACAAAAGAAAGACAATGATCAAACATACAGACAATAAATTCAGTTTCTACAAAATTGGCAACATCCCCATCTTCATCAATTCCTCTTCGTAAATACCGAACACCCGCCCTTTTAATAGATCGTCTAGAAATTAAAGTAAGTGTTAACAGAGGGGAGTCTAAATCAAAAGAAATTGTTTGTTGATCAACATAGCCATGTATTATTGGTGTTATCCAATCTTTAAATGCTGGAATTGGTGTTCCATCACGAACAAAAAATTCTGAGAAAAATTCAAAAAATTTTGTTATTTAAAAAATAAATAAAAACCATCTAATAATTGCCTATTCCAAAAGAAACGAGAATCAGACAAATCAGTGTTGGATGTCGCACTTTGTAAACTTCTTGTAATATCAAAATTGTGTGCAAAGTAAAAACTGTTTGGTTGACTTAAAAATACAACCTAAAAATAAATTTTAGTTAAATAAAGAAAAGTCAAAAGTAAGTGTTAACAAAAGTCAAAAGAATAATATGAAAAAAGAAATACTTTAAACTAGTGTTGGACCCAGATTCTTCATTGTCAGTATGTTCGAGCTTGTCAGAGGTGAGACTTACAGTGAGGAGTTTTAGCCCGAAAATGACGGGGTATGAGGCAAGCGAGTAGCCATGGGGGGGGGGGGGGGGGGGCTTTTGGGGCTAAAGCCCTGCTACGCCCTTGGGTACGGGTCAAATCATAGTTTAAACTCTTACAATTAAATTTAAAAATAACTTACAATTTCATCAATAAGTTTAGGAGAAATAGGTAAATTACGCATAGGCATTTTGTGTGAGATCATTTTAGCAAATTTCTTTGGTTGATTTTTTAAACGTTCCAAATTGTCAATTCCATCAATATTCTCAAAAAAAGTTTTGCATTTCATTCCATCAGCCAAAATAGGCAAAGCACAGACTTTTTCTATTCGATAAATTGTTTCATTTTTTGAAGAAATCTTTCCCAATTCAGAACACTGAGTGACCAACAAAAGATAAGAAATTCCATCAATCACAACCTTACCTACAAAAAAGGAGCTTTTAATGAAGTAAGAACGAGGTAAAAGTTTAATCCCAGGCAGGCCTCTTTCGATCCTGCGGCCTCCTGGCAGTGGTGCTTTCGCTCACCACGTACAGGTGCTCTACCAACTCAGCTACCGGGACGCAGCTTTCACTTTCACTTTTAATAGATCTTAAACCCCCGTCTAGTGAGCGTTTTAAATGCTAGCCAGCTAGATCCTTCTCTTCCTTACAATGAAAATATTTTAAAAACTAACCAATAAAAGCAAAAACATCTCCAATTAATTCGAGATCTTCAAGTGCACTTATATCTGAAAAAATAAAAAAATATAAAAAGATGTGTAACCTGAATGATAAAATATAGAAAGATTTGAAGTATTTCGACAACATTTTAATATTGTATTTACAGACTTGATAAGATAAAATTCCTCTGTTGCCAATAATTGCATTTAATAAAGCACTAAATGTAAAAATTAAATGTAAAAATTAAATGTAAAAATCCAACAAAAAAATCAAAGATTTACGAAAAATTCCTTCCCTAAAATTTAAAAAAAATTAAAATTGGTCTCATTTTGTCATTGTGTTGGCCCGGTACAAAATATGGAATCGTTAAAATATGGAATCGTTAAAATCGCGAATAGGCTAAAAAGGGGTTAAAATACCGAATCGTTAAAATATGGAATGGTTAAAATATCGAATCGGGCAAAAAAGGGTTAAAATATGGAATCGTAAAAATATGGAATGTTTAAAATCTCGAATAGGCTAAAAAGAGGTCAAAATGTCGAATTCTTTTAAAAAGGGTCAGATGAGTGCCGTACGTTGATTATTGATAATTTTATCAGCTTATCAACCTATTGTTGATAATTTGATTGATAAGTTTCGTATGTCGTAGTCCGTCGCAATCTTTTCGGCCTGAGTTCACTGTATTTTACCGAGTAAAACCGGACCGGATAAATCAAGCATAATCGACCTGATCCGGTCCGGAATGATCGTGCGGATCCGGAAAACATAACGCGATCTTGATACGTCAAATTAGAGTGGAGTGCCTAGCTTCTAATAAAACCCGGAATTTTTTAACTGTACCGTATACGGTACAGAATACCGAAAAATACCGATCAGCTTTTAAATTTTATCGGTCGGCATTCCGCACCGTACTAGCGAAACGGAATACCTAAAAATACCGTCGGTATTACGGCAACGCCCGGATTCTAGGTTTTGGCGCCATTTTTAAAAAAAATTCGACATTTTGACCTATTTTGGTCGTGTCGACATTTTATCAATTCTATATTTTAACGATTCCACATTTTGACCCCTTTTTACCCTATTCGAGATTTTAACCATTCCATATTTTAACGATTCCATATTTTAACCCCTTTTTAGCCTATTCGCGATTTTAACCCATTTTTACCCGATTCGAGATTTTAACCCTTTTTTAGCCTATTCCATATTTTAACGATTCGGTATTTTGTCCGGACACGCATTGTGTTCTTTGATTTTTCTCTTTTCTTTTCCATTGTATTTTTAATATCTCTAACTGTCTCTCTTTATTTTACACGCTATTTTCGCCCAAATTGGGACTTATTGACGTTTCACACGTTTATCTCTTTTTAAGTTGTTTGTTTTAAAATCAGTTGTTGTTTTGATAAGGATTCGTCATCGAGGTGTAGTTTATTAACTTTTTATTTAAATTTGTTTAGTATGAAATGAAAGTGTAGGTTTCTTATGTTAGTAAGTAAATTGATTTGTAATTGTCTTGGAAAGTAGGTACTTTAAAGAAGAATTGTTTCAATGTCGGCAGAATCGCACTTCCGGGATCCCGAGTCGGGATTTTTTCCTAATCGATGCCGGGACGGGATCCCGAGGGATAAATCCCGAATCCCGAAAATCAAAAAAATCCGGGATCGGTATCACGGAAAATCCCGGCGTGATCCCGTCGCGCCGACCTCTATGTTCAATATCCTTTCCGTTATCGTTCATTCTATTTACGAATAACCAAAAAAAGTTTTAAATAATTTTTAGGTTGCTGTATATATCGTAAATAAATTTTTATATCTGATGGCACACAGCAACAGTTTTGCTTCTGTATTCTCAAATGGTTATGTCAACATTCAAGAGCCTACTTCAAGAACCTTTCCTATCCAACTTACAGGTTTCTTTAAAAAAACTTTGTTTAAATTTATTTTCCTTTTAAAGTTCACACTGCTCGACTAAATGGTGGTGGTTTGTTCAACAAAGCTCCAGATGTTTATTTAGAGATTATTGTTGACTCAAATGCTGAACTAGCAAAGAGAACAAGTACCAAAAAACGAACTTATTCACCTCAATGGGATGAACCTTTTAATTTAATTGTTGGAGAGAATTCCTTGATTGAATTCAAAATATTTAGCAAAACTAAATTTTTTGATGACAATTTGATAGCTTCGAAGACCATAAAGGTTATGCATTGGGTTAAGAAAGAATCTGATAATGGCAAATGTAAAATATTTTTTAGTTAATCTTTGTTTTGAAAAAATTTTTTAGTTGACAATGTAAAGATAACCATTCCATTAATCTCAAAAGATGCAAGAGATCGTGAATCGAAGACTGGCGAGCTTAAAGTTTATGTCAATGGAACAATTGAGAGGACCAGACGTGGTTTGCTTTCTTATCAATCAGGGTCTGATCCTCGTTTTCCCTTTCGTTTTTTCCGTGCTCCTATATTTTCAGAATCTCGCTTAGTCATTTCTGAATGTCTTGGGTTGGCAGAGTTGAATCGAACTTTAAATGAAATTTTGTGATTTTGGATAACAATAGGAACATTTTTATTATTAAGGATGTACACGAGGGACTTCTGCTACACCTTCTGTAGTCCAAGAGCTTCCTGCTACTTTTAGTAACGAGAGTAACGAGCCGTCAACATCAACTGGAATAAATGCAGGTAGTAAAATTTTTTGTTTAATAACTTTTCTATTAGTTGCTAATGGGGAACTTGTAAATGCGCCAAAAACTCGTGATACAATAATGCCACAAACGGAGGCTGCCCTTAATACTGCTGGCGAAGAGCCACTTCCTTCAGGTTGGGAAATGCGTTCAGACCAGTTTGGAAGGCGTTACTACGTTGACCACACGACTAAGAGTACTACATGGGTCAGGTAAAGTTTAACTTTTTTGATTTTATAAAATGTATACTTACAGACCAAGTAATACTCCACTACCCCAAGGTTGGGAATCGCGACGTGATAATCGAGGGCGTGTTTATTATGTTGATCATAACACTAGAACTACAACTTGGCAAAGGCCTACTCTTGATATGCTAGCTGCTCACGAGCAATGGAACTCCAATCGTTCTCAAGCTATGAGTCAATGGGAACAGCGTTTTCTTTACAATGTTTGTTAGTAAGGTTGTCGGATCCGGATATCCGGATCCGAAAAAAGGCCGGATATCCGGAAATTTTCGGTTCGGATACCGGATCCGGATATCCGAAATTTTCGGTTCGGATATCGGATCCGGATCCGGATATCCGAAATTTTCGGTTCGGATATCGGATCCGGATCCGGATATCCGAAAATTTCGGTTCGGATCCTAGAATTACGAAAAAAGGGTGAAATCTTGCCCATTGGTCTTCCAAAATTCCCAAAATTTTCGCCTGCGGCGCTGAAGATGGAAGAAATGTGGTCAATTGGTCTTCAAAAATTCACAAATTTTTCGCCTGCGGCGCCAAAAATGGAAGAAATCTGGCTTCTTGAGCTCCAAAATTCTCAAAATTTCCGCCTGCGGCGCTGAAAATGGAAGAATGGCTTAAGGACCTCCAAAATTCTCAAAATTTTTGCCTGCAGCGGTGAAAAAGTGATCGTTTTGGCCTACGGCCTTCTAAAATTCTCAAAATGTTCGCCTGCGGCGCAGGAAATGAAGAAATCTAGCTTAAGGACCTCAAAAATACCCAAAATTTTCGCCTGCGGCGCTAAAAGAGAAAGAGTTGTAAACAGTTGTAAAAACTCAAATGCCCCCCCCCCCCCCCGAAGCTACCCCCTGGATACGCCCTTGAAGGATATTGGGATTAGAGGGGATATAGGGGATTAAGCAATAGATCCCTCAATATCTCTCGTAATTCCCAACCCCCAGCCCTTAACCCACCAATCTTAAATGTAAGAAAATACCCGATGTCTCTATTAATTCCCCAAATAACTCATTACTCACATCGATAACTCTGTTAGTCCTAAATTCCCTTAATACCTCTGTTAATTCCCCAAATCCATTTATAATTGATCTTAATCCCTCTATATCATCCATAGGGACTCAACTACAGCGCCGCAGGCGAAAATTTTGAAAATAAAAATTTCGGTTCCGGATCCGGATATCCGAAAATTTCGGTTCGGATATCGGATCCGGATCCGGATATCCGAAAATTTCGGTTCGGATACCGAATCCGGATCCGGATATCCGAAGATTTCCAACTATCCGACAACCTTAATCCGGATATCCGAAAATTTCGGTTCGGATATCGGATCCGGATCCGGATATCCGAAAATTTCGGTTCGGATACCGAATCCGGATCCGGATATCCGAAGATTTCCAACTATCCGACAACCTTATTTGTTAGAAAAGTTGTTTGTTGAATAAATTTATAATTCAAGTCTGAAGAAGAGGATCATTTGGGTCCATTGCCTACTGGATGGGAGCGCAGAGTAGAACCCAACACTGGACGAAATTACTTTGTAAATCATCAAAACCGAACAACTCAATGGGAGGACCCACGAACTCAGGGGTAATCTTTTGTTTTCTTGAACGAGTGTAATTTTAAAAATTCAGTCTTCCTAACGCTCCACTACCCGAAGGATGGGAAATGCGTATAACTGAACAAGGAATTCCTTTCTTCATTGATCACAATACTAAGTCAACAACTTATAACCATCCTCGTACTGGACGTCCTGTTGGACCGCTAGGAGGGCCTGGACTTCAAATGGCTTCAGATAAGACGTTTAAGAACAAAGTTGCTCAATTCCGTTATCTGTGTTATGTTAGTCATTTTTTAATTAAAAGAATACAAAAAACGTTTTTTAGTCTAATGCTTTTCCTAAACATGTAAAAATTTCTGTTACTCGTCAAAACCTTTTTGAGGATTCGTTTCAAGAGGTTTAATCTTTAAGTCAAATTTATTTTTAATTTATTTTTTAACAGGTCATGAGAAAGAGTCCAATAGAATTTCGTAATCGTTTATATATTCAATTTAAAGGAGAAGATGGACTTGACTATGGAGGTGTTGCTAGGTTAGTTACTGTTTAAACAATATAATTTTAATGGACCATACTGGGGATATTCTTATGCTTTTTAACTGGACTGTCGATACATGTCATATTTTTTAAATAGGAAATCGAACGGTTTATTTTCTGACGGTTGATAATTAGTTTCTTCTAATAAGCTTAAAAACCTTCACTTCTTTAATTATACAGAGAATGGTTCTTCTTACTTTCTCATGATGTGCTCAACCCTATGTATTGTCTCTTCGAATATGCCAATTCAAATAATTATAGTCTTCAAATAAACCCTGCTTCTTTTGTAAATCCTGATCATTTAAAATATTTTGAATTTATTGGTCGTTTTATTGCAATGGTTTGTTTTAAAAGCTTTGAAAAATATTTTTATTTAAAGGCTTTGTTTCATGGAAAATTTATCTATAGTGGATTTACTCTTCCTTTTTACAAGAAGATGCTTAGCCGAAAAATAACTCTTAAAGATTTGGAATCTGTTGACTCAGAGTTTTACAATTCAATTGTTTGGAGTAAGTTTTTTTTTGAGAGGGGGGAGGTGCATAAGATTGAGAAATTTTTATTTTTAAGTTCGTGATAATAACATTGATGAATGTGATATGGAATTATATTTTGTGGTAGATTATGAATTGTTGGGTGAAGTGAAGACACATGAATTAAAAGAAAATGGAACAGAAATTGCCGTTAATGAAGAGAATAAAGTTGAATATATAGAATTATTGGTAGAATGGAGATTTAATAGAGGAATTGAACAACAAACAAATGCTTTCTTTCAAGGATTTACATCTATTTTTCCTCTTCAATGGCTACAGGTTTGGAAAGAAAATATATTTAGATTAGAGAATTTTTTAGTATTTTGATGAACGTGAACTTGAATTGCTTTTATGTGGAATGCAAAATATTGATGTAGATGATTGGCAGCGAAATACTGTTTATCGACATTATGCTCCACAAAGTAAACAAATTCAGTGGTTCTGGCAATTTGTTCGATCTTTGGATCAAGAAAAACATTCCAAATTGTTACAATTTGTTACAGGGTTTGTTATCTTTTTAAGATTAATTTTTTAAATAACATGAATGGATTAGGACATGTCGTGTGCCTGTTGGCGGTTTTGCTGAATTAATTGGTTCAAATGGCCCTCAATTATTTTGTATTGAAAGGGTGGGAAAAGAGGGATGGTTGCCACGTTCACATACTTGTTTTAATCGCCTTGATTTGCCACCATATCGCTCTTATGAGCAACTTGCAGAAAAACTAACTGCTGCCATTGAGATGACTGAAGGTTTTGGCAACGAATAAAAAATAGATATTTAAAAAGTAAAAGTTAGAAAATAAATACGGATAAATTCTATCTTATGTATGTGTTTTTGGGTGTGGCCATAGATTTGATAAAGATTTTGAGAGGTTAACCGCCAAAAGGATTTATATATGGAACACACTATTTAGAATCTTTGTCATAACCAGTGCTGGGTCATAACCAGTGCTCCCGGAGCCATACCCAGCACTGTTCATAACTGACTCTTTTAGAAGGCTGACCCTCTTCCCTCGAGTCAAGTTATAAAATTTTCTAATCCTCTCCCAATCTGAAATACAAAAATAATTTGACTGTAATATATAATTTATGGCCATGTCTTCTAATTTAAACAAATGTGAAAATATTTAGAAAATTGAAGCTATCTAACCAAACATTCAATAATTGTAATTTGTGCTATTTAAGATTAACAAAAATTAGGTTTAACTAAAAAGTAAATACTCCTATATGTATTTTATTAAAAATATTTCTTAACCAAAGTAATTTGACTAAATAATGTGAGAAAATAAATATTAATTTAAGGAAATGGCAAATTTAAAGCCAGTTTTCTAATAAAGATTTTGTGTATTTACTTTCTAATAAATAAATGATTCTTTTTTTATTTTTTTCTAAAAATTATGTTTTTAACTTTCAAAAATATCTAACTTTATAAAATTAAATTTTTAAAGTTTTTAGTTAACAGGAAAATAATTAAAGAAAAAATGGTGACTGCTGATGACATTACTAGCGCTGTACCAAACAAGGATGAAAATGAGAAGAAGGAATCTGCTGATGATGGTTCTAGTTCTGATGGGGATGTGCCAGAGTTGGAAGAAGGGGAAGTGACTGAAGACCAAAAGAAAGTAGCCGAGGCTGCTGGGATTGCAGAACAGGTTTTTAAAACATGCTTTGTTTGATTGTTTTGGCTTGGGCCAGACTCGTCTCAATCTAATTTTCATTAGAATTTTTTGGTACCCTCAGTTTCCATGCCTATTTGAATCTCGATCACTTATAGATTGACATTACATTTCTTTTAAATTTTTAGGTGACTGATAAGGGTGCCAAGCAATCGCGTTCCGAGAAGAAGGCACGTAAGCTGTTCAGCAAACTTGGTAAATAAATTTGAATTCTAAATATTTTTTTAAATGTTTAATTAGGCCTTAAACAAGTTCACGGCGTTTCTCGTGTTTGCATTCGCAAATCCAAGAATATTCTTTTTGTTATCAACAAACCAGATGTCTATAAAAGCCCTGGTTCTGACACTTATATTGTTTTTGGTGAGGCAAAGATTGAAGATTTGGCTCAGCATGCGCAAATTACTGATGTTGAGAATTTGAAGCCTCCTTCAATTATTCGTGATGTGCGTAACAGAATGGCTCAACCGGAGGAGGAAAGTGATGAGGAAGAGGTTTGTTTTTAGTTTTAAATTAGAAATGAGGGTAATTTGGGGGGGGGTGAGTCTCACATCAGCCGGATTTTAATTTATTCTCATCTGGACTGGACTTTCCGGATCAAAATCCGAATTTTTTAGACCCGGATCCAAACCTGGATTTTCAAAAAAAAATTTTCATAAATATTTTTTCATTTTTTGCATATAAAATTTTTTTATAACTTTGAAAACTTAATATATTTTGGAAAATAGCATTCGAGACGCTTTTTACCCTGTTACACTGCCCCCGACCAGTGTAACAATTTTACCCTTAGCTGAGGGTTATTTGACCCGAGTAAATAATTTATTCTACCAATATGAAAAGCTACTCGGGGTTTTGGGTTAAACTACCGGGTTGTTTAACCCTGAACTCAGGGTAGGAATTTATGCTGCGGGTTGAGAGTTATTTGACCCTCGTGTAGGGGTTAAATAACCCTTACCCCGAATTTATTCTACGGGCCCAGGTGCCTGAACTTGAAGAGCTTTTCCTAACCAAAAATTTTTTTTAAACACGGGCAACGATATTTAAAATACTGGTTGGTGGATATTCTCAAAAAAATCCTCGAACAAGGTGGGAAAAATGTTAGGAAGGAAAATCCAAGTTGAACATTGTGTTTTCAATTTTTCCCTCAAAAACAAATAAATAATTTCTAACTATTTAGGTGGATGCTACTGGAATTGAGGAAAAGGATATTGAGTTAGTTATGTCGCAAGCGAATGTTTCTAGAAACAAAGCAATAAAAGCGCTCCGAAAAGCTGATAATGATTTGGTTAATGCTATAATGGTTGGTTTTTTTTAATATTTTTTAAATTGAATATTTTTATCAATTTTTAGGAGTTAACTATGTGAGTGAGGAAGCAAGGAAGTTAAAAGAGAAAAAAAAAATAAAAGAAAAATAAATTTCGCGTTCAGACAAAAAAACAATTGTTTTCAGGTCTTGTTATTAATTTTAGAATAAACTTTATATTTGGTTATTTACTTGCTAGGGTAGTTAGGGTACTTGAATCTTATAAAATTACGCACTAACTTTTAAATACTCCCACAAGACACACCTAAAATTTAAGACACACCAAGACACGCCTAATTAATCAATTTGGCTGGACACTGGGTGCAAAGTTGTCACTAACTGTAAACTCCTTGACATTATATAAAATACGATTTTTTCATCCTTAAGAAGAATCTAAAAATGAGGCTTGATTGTATAAAAATCACCTTTTCTTCTGATCATGGAAAATTCAATTTCCTAATTTCTTTTATTCCCCAATTTTCCTTAAACAATAATTAATTCTCCCAGACGAGTTTTTTTTCCGTTTTTCAAAAAAAACCAAAGAAAAAGGTTTTCAAAAAAACCCCAAAAAACCAAATATATGTACAACATTAAAGGCCAAAGTACCCAATAATTCCCCCTATTCTTTACCTTCTCTATCTTTTTATATTTTATCTTTAACTCGTCATTAATTGATTTATTTGATTAAACACATGTTTATGTTGTAATAAAATATTTAGGTTTTGATAGAAAATTGAGGTTAATTAAATAAATGGGAAAATAAAAACACATAAGTTTTAGAAAAAAATCAAATAATTAGAAAAAACAAAAATTAATATTTAAAACCGAGATTAGACTTTATTTTATAAATTAACACTTGCTTAAAAGAAAAGATGGGTCGAATAGTGCCACAAAGAAAGATGACATATTTTGAAGTTAAAGGAATTCAAGGTAAGGAAATTAAAGTTTGGGATTATTCAGTGGTTTTTTTATGGAGAATTTTCCTTTGTAGCGTTCGTTCAAGTTAAGACATTTTTAAATTTTGGAATAATTTGGCGAAATGTTTTATTTTTTTGCGTATTTATTTTGCGGACATTTTTTGTTAATTAATTACTTTAATTATTTGTCCTTGTAAATATTTCTTGTTACTATTTTCTTTTTCCAATGAGTATACCAATAATTTTTCTAGATAAAATAAATGTACATAAAAATAATTATTTTGTAAATTAACTAAAAATATAATTCTAATCTTAACTATTAATTTCTATAAAAGATGCATACAAGAGTTCATCAGTGTAAACAAATTATATTATTAATTAAGAAAACATTTTTCTAAAAATTAATTTTAGATTCAACACGCGATCAAGTACGGGTACCTAATGTCATTGCTTTGGTTGGATTGCCTGCTAGAGGAAAAACTTGTAAGAACAAAAATGTTTTTTAATTTTTATTTTATCCAAACTTTCCCCTTTTTGGCTTTGATTGTTTACAAAATCATTTTTAGAGGAAGAATCAAAAAGTTTAGGATGAGTGTTATATGTATGCTAAAATATGATCTAATTTTAATTTTTTAAAGATATTTCCCACAAACTTTGTAGATATTTAAATTGGATTGGAATTAAAACTAAAGGTATTTTAATATTTAAATTCTTTTTTTAGGTGGATATTAATATTTATCGAAATTTAGTTTGTTCATTAAACTAAAATTTTCTACAAATCGAGATGTCGGTGTTTATGTAGATTTTCTTTACTCATAGTTTTTGTGATTTAAGGTGTTATTACGTCTAGGGTTTTTCAGTCAATGCTTTTACCCATTATGTGGATAAGAAGATTAGTACTTTACTCATACTTACATATTAACATCTCAATCACTAATAATTTTGGACCACCTATTCGGTGTTTAAAACTTTCTGTTTTCTCCCAGATATGTCTGAAAATGAAATTTCATTCCAGACTAGTCGAAACCATTTTAATTTTTACGAAATTGAAGATCTCAAAAATTCATTTTCCCATTCATTTTCCAATTCAAATTTATTTAAATAATATTTTTAGCCTTTAATGTTGGTGAGTATAGACGCCAAGCCTGTGATTTTTTTCAACAAGGTGCTTCAGATTTTTTTAGTCCACTTAATGAACAAGGAACACAAATTCGAGAGTAATTTAAAATTTTTAAAGATTAAAAAAATTATTTTTCCAGTCACTGTGCCAAACTAGCAATGGAAGATATGGGTAGATATTTGGAAAATAAGGAGGGGGAAGTTGCGGTTTGTGAAAAGTTTTCTTTAAAAAAATAAAAATAAATTTTTTAAGATTTTCGATGCAACAAATACAACAAGGGAAAGGAGAAGGTGGCTAGTTGATTTTTGTCAAGAAGGGGAAAGAGAGCCAAAATTTCGAATATTTTTTATTGAAAGTATTTGTGATGATCCAGAAATTATTAATTCGAATATTGCGGTTAGTTTTTTTTAAAAGTTTTTTTGAAGAGAGAAGTTCGCTCGCCTATTTTTAATTAAAAAAATTAATTTTTTGGAAAATTTTGTGTTGTTTTTAGGCAATGTTGAGTGAGCACGGATAATATATTTTGTAGAGTTTCACCGGAAGTTCCGGTTCCGGTCAAAATTTCGTTTCCGGTGAAACACTAATATTTTGTTGATGTTTAATTTGTTGAAAAAAATTAAACAACCCTTTCCTTTAAAGAAAAATTATAACTTTCTTAAATAAATAGCAAATTAATGTCAGATTCGAGATCGACATTCCCAAATAAAAAGAAATATTTAAATTTATTTCAAAAATTGAACTAACTTATTTTAAATTTTTAGGAAGTCAAAATAAGTTCTCCCGATTATATGGGAAAAATGACTGAAGAAGAAGCACGTCAAGATTTTTTAAAACGAATTGAAAATTATAAAATTCAATATGAGCCTTTAAATGACGATATTGATGACGACCTTTCTTACATTAAGGTTTTTATTTTTTGGGGAAAAAATCTTTCGAGGCTTAAAAATTTTCCTAACGCTGGGTTTTAAATTTAAATTAAAGTGGTAAGGTTTAGTAAAATAATATTCCTATTGGGACGGAATTTCGAATTTTCCAACTGCACCAAAGCCAATTTAAAAGACAATTAGCTTTGTCTATCTAAAATAATATTTATTTGCCTATTTATTCTTAATTTTAAAGGTAATTAATGCTGGACGTTCTTTTTATGTTCACAACGTAAATGGCCACGTCCAAAGTCGAGTAGTCTATTTTTTGATGAATATTCATTTATTGCCTCGTTCAATTTATTTAACAAGGGTAAATTAATTTTTAAGGATTTTTTTTTTAATTTTTATTTTAAGCATGGAGAGAGTGAATATAATAGAATTGGAAGATTAGGAGGAGACAGCCCCCTTAGCGAAAATGGTATTAATTATGCACAGAAACTGCATGGATATTTTCAGGTTTTTAAATTTTTTTGTTGTTTGATGTAAGATATTTTTTAAACAAATTAAATATTATAAAAACGCCAAGGCAACAAAATTACCAGTAAATTATTTTTACTAGAGACTGGCATGGGACGGGATCCCGACGGGATTTTCCGAGATCCCGAATTTTTTTGATTTTCGGGATCTGGGATTTATCTCTCGGGATCCCTTCCCAGCATCGGTTAAATAAAATCACGACTCGGGATCCCGGGAGTGCGATTTTGCCTGTCTCTAATTTTTACTAGTAGAGTAAAGTGTTATAGCCATTAAGTGACATTTTGTCCTTTTTTAGCCTTTTTAAATTGGAATATTTTATTTTTAAAATTAATTTAAGCATGAAAACATTGGTGATTTACGAATTTGGAGTTCACAGAAAATTAGAGCTGCCCAAACAGCCAATTACCTCAAAGATTTGGCTGCACATGTAGAATATTGGAAAGTTTTGGATGAAATTGATGCTGTATATTTTTGAATTTTTGAATAAATTTATTTAATTTTTAAAGGGAATTTGTGAAGGATTGACTTACAAAGATTTTGAATTACGTTATCCAACACAATTTATTGAAAGAGACAAGGACAAATATCACTACAGATATCCATCTGGAGAAAGTTATGAAGATTTGGTTGCTCGTTTAGAGCCTGTAATTATGGAGCTGGAAAGGTTTGTTTTAAGTTATATTTTTTGTAATCTAAAATCGTAAATATTTAAACCTGAATTTTTGACCATAGAGAAGTTGCTTGACCTCTTTTTAAGTAAAAAGAGTTTTTTCTCTTTAGGAAGAAAAATAATAAGGAAAGAGGGATATCCATTGAGAGAAAGTTACCGCTCCAAAAGTCGAAAACTTTGAAGACCTATAACTTTTCGAAGTGGGGGCAAAAAAAAGCCACAAATGGGGATAGGCTATCGACCACGCTCTACACGAGGGTGTGTGTTACATAACAAAATTTTTGGTGATAGTTCGCGGTGTTCCCTTGTTAGAAATTATGGTCTGCTAAAGTAGTCCGAAAGTCACTGCTCGATAAAATAGATTTTGGGATATTATGGAGTTGGAAAAACTTGAACGACCCGATTCGTTTCTTAAACGACAACCCTAAACTAGAAACCTTTTTAATTAAAAATGTGTTCGCGATTTTATAATTTTTTAAAACAATTTTTAGGCAGTCAAATGTTCTTGTCGTTTCACATCAAGCTGTTCTCCGCTGTAAATTCTTTAAAAAAAATTTAATTTTTAAACAAATTTTAAGGTATTCTTGCCTATTTTAATAATAAAAATCGTGAAGAGTTGCCTTATTTGGATGTCCCATTGCACACAGTAATTAAACTGACACCGAAAGCTTATAGTTAGTTTTGTATTTTTTCTAGTTTTATTCGGAGATTTTTTATTGACAATATTTACGGGTAATAAAAGCTTTTGTTCTCCACAAACTACTTTATTTAAATGAATTTTTGTTGAGCTATAAGACAGGGGTGAATTGAGTTTCTGACTTTTTCTTGACCCGAAACGCGACCCACAAACTCACTAGACCACCCAAAAAAATTTTGAAATCCAGACCTGTCTTTTTCTCTTACCACCCATCCTTGCTTTATACATCGGACTTTTATATATTTTGTCCAAAAATATTTTTGGAAAAAAAATTTGTCGCCAAATATTGTTTACAAAAAATCTTTTTCAAGTAATTTTACTTTTAAATAATTATTAAATTTTTTAGGTTGTCTAATCGAAATGTTTAAATTCAAAGTAGATGCTGTTGATACTTATAGAGCTAAACCTGGAGAGGTGGTAAGTTTAAAATTTTTTTGAAATTTCTTTTTATATTCCCGGTTCCTTTGCTTAAATTTTTACTTATTTATTCGTTTCATTCAAAATCTCTTTACATTTATTGCTTTCATCTTGCTAAAAATCAAAAAAAAATAAATTTAAATTCATTTGTGCCTTTGTAGTGGGAATATTCGGAAGGAGATGTTCCGCTCACTCGCTCTCCCTGGTTAGTTAAAAAGCTTTTATTTTTTGTTTTTCTTTTTTTTTTGTTTTGTGAATGTTTTTGTCTTTTCTTATTAATTTTGCTTGATCGAAAAAAACATTTAATAAAATTTAAAATTAAATAAGTTAATACAAAAATAGATTCAACGTTAAGTAGTTTTTTCGATCGTTTTTCAATGTGCTTTTTGCTTTTAATCTTTTCCCACTTTCATATTTTCTTGGAGGATTTTAAAGCCCCTCAGGAATGCAGTAAAATCTCAGCTATACCTCACTACCATTTATATCTTCGATTTTGTTTGGACGTTGGGAGGCAATACAATTTTTCAGAACTTATGGGGTATCTAAACGAAACCTGTCTATACTATATATTAAAAATTCCGTGTACTAAATTATTTTCTCATAATTTTATCTGGATACTTTTCAACGATAACTTTTTTTCTGAAAATATTTTTATTTGGTTTCCTTTTTCCCTTACTTTTGAGGTGCTCCGAATCCATTTCAAATATAAAACTAACACTTTTTCCTTTTTTCTAAAATTAATCTTTTTGTACCAATACTTTAATTTTAAAACTTTTCCATTTAGAAAAAACCACCAGCACCAATCCCTGAAGAAGAAATAGATCCTCCACCATTAGAAAATCAACAATCCATAGAAAATTTGAATGAACTTCTAACTAATGGATTTTTAATTGAGGGAGAACATAACTAAACTTTTTTTTATTTTTTTTATTACCTCCCATTTTAGGTGTATTTTTTGCCTTTGTGAAATTAGACTTTTCCTTTAAAATCTAGTTAAATTCACTTTTACTATTTAAATTCATTATGAATAAAGAGTTTTTCTATAATGAAGATGATTTTTCAAATTGTTTATAATTATAACAAATTTATTTATTTTTTATTTTTCGAGCCCACAGCGCTGCAAAACAAATTGTTCCATACCGATTTTGTTCCATAAAGAAATCTGATTTTTGGTCATATTTGTAATATTTTAGTCTATTGTACATTTTTATATGGGACGAATTCGGGGAAGGACAAATTATGGGAAATTTTTAACATTTCCCATGGTTTATATATTTGTTTTGTATTTGTAACTTCATCTACACTAATTTTGTTCTTATGAAATTAATTTTTATTTTTTTAGCTATCTCAATTTCAATCAAAAATTATTTTTGTATTATTGAGATGCTTTATAATTTTTTGACAAAATTAGTATGCCGAAACTTTTCTATTTCTTCACCGCTCCAGAAATCTGTTTATGTATTTTTTTAAATTAAATAATTTAATTTTAAACAAATTTAGTTGAGGAATATTCCAAAAAATCTCAACATGAAGGACTTACTATCTTTTTTCTCTGGTTATGGCGAGATAAGCAATATCAGGATTGCAAAAGTTTACATTTATCATTTTTAATTCTTAAAAACGGATATGATTTTTATAAAAATTGAAATTGAGGTATAATTTCGGAATTCTAAACAGACTCCGATTGGGACAAATTATATGTCAATCGAAACGGCTAGTCGAGCTGAGTTGAATGACATCAAAATTTCGATTGTGACGTAACTATGGGCCGAGATACAGCACCCTAAATTTCGAAAAACCATAGGAGGGACCAAGCACTTTTTTGGGGTGAAAAATTCGAAAATGCAAATTATACCTCATTCGAAAGAGCTCGCCGAGCTGAGTCGAATAACATATAATAGGTATGTCCTAATCGGAATCTGTTTAGTGTTCCGAAATTGATCCTGTCATTTCTTTACACGTTTTGGAAATCTTATCGGTTTTGTCCTTTATCAGTCGTCTTTCAGGCATATGCCTCTTCTAACATTTTTCGAATGACTCACCAAATTATTTATTTTGGATACGTTTTGAATTATTTCCTAATGAGGTTTAGATGGTAGACCATTCCAGATTATGATTTTCGCAAAATCTTTTAAACCCTTATCACTCGGCATATTTACAGTTAAATTTTTGTTTTAATGTCATTCCTGAACTTTTAGTTACATTTCAATTTCAACTATGAATTTAACATTTAAATTAACAAAATTAACCATAATAAAAATATCAAGATTTTTAAAATGCTTCCCTAATTTTAGAATAATTATGCTTTCGTTGGCTTTTCAAATGATGATGATGCACATAAGGCAGTGAAGGAGTTGATGTTTAAGGAAATTAAAGGATCCCCGTACGTATTCTTGAATTAATGCTAATTAATTTAATGACCTTTTATATTTGTAGCATTTGGCTTGAAATGGCTAAACCACAAGATGGGCCTGTTGATTGGGTTGCAAATAAAAAAGTATTTTATTCTCCACAAACAGCTCCGGCGAGTAAAGAAACCCTTCCGTTTTTAGTGGTTTACAACACAAAAATGTCCTTTTTTTGCATAAAAATTTCTATTAGATTGAGTACACAATCTTTTGAACGGTTATTGTGATATTCTTGAGTTTTTAAGGAAAGACTGATTTTTGAAAATTCTTTGAAAAACACAAACTTATTCTTCTATACCTGTGTTAGAATTTATTTTTCTTTTTAAGTAAAATTTTTGTTTTTCAAAAATCTAATTTTAGATGTTTAAACGGTACTCGCCGGAGCTGTTTGTGGAGAATGCTAGACGTCTTTTTAAGAAAAAGGACTGGATTCGAGCGGCAAGAAATTCACACTTCGCGGCTGTTTATTGTGTAAAGCTTTTGGCTCTTGATCAGCAAATACACCTGACGTCACCTGATGAAATTCGAAAATTTTGCGAATTTCTTGTGTACAACGAAACGTTTCGCCGTGTCGACAATGGACTTACCTCCATTATTTTGGATGCTGGTTATAGTGCAGGAGAAGAGTGAGTGTTTTTTAAATATTTATAAATTTAGATCTAATTATTTTAAAATTTCGGCCCCTAGTGCACTTTATAGGTCCAAACGATTTTTCTGATTCAAAAATTTTTTTGACACATTTTCGTGCATATATTAGTTTTTGATTGATGCTATATAATTTTCCGCTAGCCATTGTATTGTAATTTATTATAATTACAATGACAATTAGTAGGCAGATTATTATGCTTTGATTGGTGTACAAAATTTTATTGAACGCACAAACTTTTTAGCACATATTCATAAAAACCAATTACTGGACACTAACATAAACTGATGCTAATTTTTATTTAGGCTTCATCGTTACAGCCTTGGGAAGACTTGTGATAGTCTTGAACAAATTCAGATTTATATTAATAAAGTTAAAGAGATGGTCAAAGCATTTCTGACAATCAAACCGGAGACTGTTAAAGAAGCATTGAAGGATTCAAAAATTTGGGAAAGATATGAAGAAAAGGAAGGCAAGATATCGCTGTCTCATAAAACTTATAAATATAAATACGTTAACAAATAAAATTTGAAAATTTGCCAATTTATATTGTAATTTTAAAACGAGGTGGAGGAAGTTGAATTTAATTAAAATACTTTTGTTTGGTGCCGTGTGATTTCGCCGGAATTGAATTGGGCAGTGAATGACTTGGGCTGTAAGCATATGGGCAGTTAGTGTTTTGGGCAGTAAACATGTTACGACCCCGGTTACGTAGAGGAAGCTAACAGAAACGTTTATTGCACAAAGAAATACAAAGTAGACGAAGGTTGGGGTAGGAAGAAGAACTAAAACTGAGACAACGAACTAACTATTGGCTGGGCTTTTATACTAACACTTTTAAGGGCTGACGCCCATACACAACACCTCCCCCCTTAAAAAAAAGGTTCGGCTTCACTTAAAGCCGAAGCTTTACAATATACTAACACTTTCCAGCCAAACAACAAACAAAAAATACATACAATAATTTTGGGGGAATAAGGACAATGGGAACAAAAAATACATACAACATTACAAAAAAATATACAACAACAATATTATCACAAAATTTTATATATGTGGCTCATCTGTCTCCATATTATTATCGTCTTCAACATCTTTCATATTTGGATTGTTCCCGCTTTTGTCCTTCATCTTTGACTTGATCCTCTTGGAGTTGTCCACACTGCTATCACTCGATGAAGTTACACTGCTTTCACTGGACACTTTTTCTTCACTAATATTCATATTCCGAATATCTTCACTCAACAATTTCTTTTTATTGTTCCACTCATCTCGACGGATCTCTTTAAAAAAAAAAATGTCCGGGTCACAATACTCTTCAACTCTGACACTTTGATTTTCCATGCATTTTCCGTCTTTCTCACTACTTCTCCATGAAGCCACTCGATTTTACCACTTCTTTTATTGGTATTCTTCACTTTCACTTTTGTGCCGTTCGGAAAAGCATTTTTCTGTATCTTGAATGGTGCCTTCTTTTTATTCCACTTTTGGTACTTGGCTTTTGGTTCCGACTTGACACTTCTTTCAATCCAGGCAACCCTAAGATACACACTTCACTATGCACTAGATGGAACTCCATAAAGACGTCTTTGTCTTTCACTTTCACTTTGCTTCTGAATTTTCCTTCAATTTCAACTTTGTTGTCACCCAGCCCAACACCACTGTAATTCACTTTTTCAATTGTTGGCTGTCCAATACTTTTCCACACTTCACTGGTGACAAGATTGATCTGCGATGCAGTGTCTACAATCATTTCTACACTAAGTTCTCCAAACTTCACTTTTTGCTTTATCCACTCTTCTTTTTCCACACTTTGCATTGGATCTAAGATGTCCAGAATTGCACAATATGGAGAACCTGAACGATTATTATCATTACTCCACTGCCTTTTTGGCTGATATTGATTATTCTTCAAGAACTTACAATGCATACGCCAGTGACCAAAACGTCCACAATGACTACACTTTTTCTCAATAACATTTTGCTGATACTTGACGTTTGGTTTGGACCACTGTTTTTTGCACTCACTTCCAATTTCACTTTCACTCTTTTTACAACACTTCACTTTTTGCACTGTGTTGACTACAGGCACTTCTTTCTTCACTTCACTAATTTTCTCTTTTACCAGGTACAGTGCCTCACTTTTATTTGCCAAATATGCCCGACACTCTTCAATAATTTCTTTCAAGGTTACTGCCTGTCCTCTTTCACTTTTACTTTCAACACTTTTCATTGCGACTTGTCGAACTGAGGTAGCATCACTAGGCAACCCTGAAATAAAAATAAGAATTTTCAATTCTTCAATCGACAAGGCCATTTCTGCACGCTCACATTGAGCATTCACTACATTCCCAAACTCAACAATATCTTGGAGGTCACTACACTTAACATTTAAGGCCTCGAACCTTTTCAACAATTTGGACCTATGATCACTAAACTCTTTCACTAACTCACTACAGAGTTCGTCAAACTTCATTTCACTCAACTTGGTTGGCAGCATTTTCCTTTCAATTTGGGCATACTCTTCTGGCCCCAATTTACTCAACAACAATCTCACTTTAGAGGATTCTGGCAGGGTTTTACCCTCCACCTCAAAATAGGACCGATGCCTGCCCAACCATGACTCAAAGGTCATACCACTCGTCAAATCAAAAACGAACTCACCAATCATCCCAACTAATTTGCTGTACAATTCGGTGTCGTTCCACTCACTCGGCTTCAAGAGCCTCACTAACATTTTCTCAAAGTGCTCTTGCTGAGCCTTCAACAATTTCTCCACTGTTTTTGCATCCATTTTGCACTCACTAAAAATAAACTTTTTATCACTACACTTTACACTACAATTTCACTAACCTTTTTGGTTTTACTACACTACAATTGTCCACACAGATTTTCTTTTTCTGAACTGCACACAGCTTACGTTGACGAGCACTCACTGAAGTTGACGAAACTGTTGTCGAGACCAGGTTCTTTTTGAACACGACCGCGCCAAATCTGTTACGACCCCGGTTACGTAGAGGAAGCTAACAGAAACGTTTATTGCACAAAGAAATACAAAGTAGACGAAGGTTGGGGTAGGAAGAAGAACTAAAACTGAGACAACGAACTAACTATTGGCTGGGCTTTTATACTAACACTTTTAAGGGCTGACGCCCATACACAACAAAACATTAGAAAAATAATTATGGATGATTTGGGCAGGCCGAAAGTTACTCGTACAGGCCTGATTCGATAAAAATGAGGCCCGAAAAATGCCCCGATCATCGGCCCGACTCGAAAACGGAAACCCTGCTTTTAGAAAGCAAAAATGGAGCAATAAAATAGAAAAGTTAAAAATAATTCAGATTTATCAATTTATAACGGGTTTGAATTTACCCCCATTTGTATCAAAACCTTTCGTAGATGCAAATAAATTAAAATAAAAAATTAATTTTTTATTGAGCTTTGTTTTAAATTAACAATTTGTTGTTTTTCATTATAATTTGCTACATTTTGTGTAACTACTTTTTTAACAAATTCTTTTGTTCCTTTAAATTTTTGTAGTGAAGATTCGTCATCTGGCATTATTTTTTGTAATGTAAATTTATATACTAAACCATCACCGTCAACGTAGAAAATCTTTTTTAAAACAAAAATTTTTAGGAATTTAAAAGGAAAAAATTTCTTGAAGATTTTTTAGATTCTTGTTCATAACCTACCCCCCCCTCCCCCCCCCCCCCCCAACACCTTATTTTTTTAAATCCGAAAAAAATTTCTAAACAATTTTTGAATTAAAAGTTTTTTTAAACTCACCGAGTAACCATCATACCATTTTTCCTAAAATAATTAATTTAATAAATTTATTTTAATTTGAGTGTATCAAGAACTCATGTCAAGTCTAAAAACATAGGTACAATATTGAGTGTCTAAACCACATAGACAAAATGGCTAACTTAGCTAGGCAGAAACGCTTACAATTTTTGTTATATTTTTTTTTTGGAAATAAACCCCAAATTGAATTTATAATTGGAATTACAGCCAAAAAAAAAATTTAAAATACCCCAAAGCTTAATTAATCCTAAAACTCTACCCATTTGAAAATTGTCAAAATTAAAGGGGTCAACTAATTTTAGAAAATTTTTAAATTAAAAAAATACATTTTCTTTGTCTGATTTAAAGCTAAAATAATCAATCCAATTATGGTAAACTAGTCTCCAACGAAGCCTAACTGTTCCATCCTCCAATATAGGTACAATATTGAGTGCCTAAATTTAATTGAAAATTTTAGAATAAAATTTTTAATTCAGGTAAATCAATCTTGTTTATTTTCCAACAAAAAAAATAAAAATTTAAAATCAAAAATCATTTTTTGAGATTTTTCTCTTGAACAATGTTTATGAATAGGAAATTACAGGACAATTTTGGAAGGCCACATAGACAGATTTCTTTCAAAATTGGCTCGGTCATTTTATGCTGTCACTAGGTTTTTAGGATCAGTCTGGTATTTTTACGGCAGTTTTTCAGAGAATTTATCTTGCCATAGACAAATCATAACAAAAAACCCTGAAGCCCGAAAACTTGAAAAGACATAAAATCCAAAAAAAATATTTTTAACCTGAGCATCAATATTAGCACGTAATAAATTGCCAGCTACAGCTATTGTTCCAAAATGATGCATAATCTCATTAAGGCCACTAAATTTAAAATTAAAATAATTTTAAATAAAAACTAAACCTTCTAGTTACTCCCATTATTTGATCATCCAAAAAAACATCTTTTCTAAGGAAAGTATAATCCATTCTCATTTTAAACATTAATGGAGTCTAAAAATAAATTGAAAAAATATTTTTTGGAATTTTAAAAAGAAAACCGTAAATTCTAGCCTTTTTTGAACATGCTCAAGTTGATACATAAGCGGTTTGTCTTGTTGACTATAAAATCTTATTATTTTATTTAAATAAATTGTTGATTGAATAAATGAACGAGAACAACAAGGATTAAAAATATTAACAAAAAATAGAGACTTCATTCTATAAAATAAAAACAAAATTAATTTTAGGAAAATCGGAAAAAATTTTTTTAAATAAAAAAATATTTAGCGACAAAATATCTGTGAACTGTTTCCAGACAAAAAGGCACACGACAAAAAGGTACTAAGGGTAAAATAGGACAAAATGGTACTGGGGGCTGCCAATTGAATTTTTAAATAATCCGAAAGTTTTTTTTGATTATTTTGGTTAATATGGAGCCCTCAAATCAAAAACTCGTTGATACAATAATTGGACTTGAGGAACAACAAAAGTAAGATTTTAAACACTTTTTTATTTAATTGTTTTTTCTTTTAGGCAAATAGAAAAAATTCTTTTAGAGTTTGTGCAGACTGGTTTAGGCGGTTCTTGTTTAATTTGTGGTCGAAAACGTTCAGGCAAATCTCTTGTTTTGGATCAAATAATTAAAAGACTCCCAAATAATCTCCGAATTGTAAATGCTGACGGGGAGAAATGCAGCAGTTTTGCTGCTAGCGCCAAAATTTTGCAAAAACACGGACTGGATATTGGAAATTTTGAAGAACAAAAAAATAAAAAGGAAGCTGGGGAATCGGTTGGGTTTTTTAAATTTTAGATTAAAAATTCTTTATTTTTTAGAATTCAAAAATACTTTTTGTCGTTGATCACTTTGAAAATTTTGCCAAAAAGAATAATCAAGTATTTTTGTATAGTCTTTTAAATGGATGTCAAAGGCTTCCTTGGTTTGTAATACTTATTGGAAATTTTGAGGTTTTTTTTAAATTTTATTTACACTTGTCTATGAGTTTATTTTATTTGGCAATTAAAATTCCAATAAATTTTTGGTTTCGTTACCCAAGTTTTTTGCTTATAATTCGTACAACATGGACAGACTTTCCTTTCTAACGTCACACAATTGCTTTCTTGTCTTTCTAAAGAACTTGAAATAAATAATCATTTTTGATTGTTTGTAGGCAAAATATAGTAAGGAAATTGTGGTCGAAGAAGGATATGTAATTCCTCCACAAATTATAGGAAAAAACTTGGGGAGGAAAAGGGGGACTGGAAGCGACACTATTACCAATTTTTCGTTCTAATAATCATTTAAAAATCATAGAATAGTTCCTGAACCTATTTCTTTATCATACGTAATACCCATTTAATAATTTTTTATTTAATTTTCAGAATGGTTTGTCTATTTTGGAAAAACGTGTCCGTTCAAGACTTTCGAAACTTCATATCCACTTTAATGTTCAACTTTCTATTGTCGATTTTAAATCGGGTTTCTTTCAACTTCTTCAATGTACTCAAATAACAAAAAATATTATAAAGGTAATTTTGAATTTTTTTGGAGCTTTAGGAGGCCTATTTTTATTGTTAGTGTCAATCTGCTGCCTAGAAATAATCCATTTTTGATTGATTTATTTGGCAAAAATGGAGGCTGTGACCTATAAATTTCCGAATATTTTTTTAAATTTTCAAATATTTTTTGGACAATTATTTGTCCGCAAGTAATCTTTTTCCATTAATTTTCTTAAAAGCTTAAACCAACTAATATTTTTTTTCATTCTAGAAAATAGAAACTGAACCTTCTGTCGATAAAATGCTACAAAGATTATACGAAAGGTTTGGAATGATTGCTTGGCTCAAAAAGATTGTGGCACTTTTTGAATTTGTTTATATAAAAATTGGAAAAATGCCTGATCCTGTTTCAATTTTAAATTATTGTTTGGAAGCCGTTCTATGTGAAAATGAACAAAGCAAATTGCTAAACAGTTAAGGAGTTTATTTAATTTTATTTGAGTATTAAATTGGAAATTTTAACCTTGTGTGGATATATAGGTAGGGTTTGGGGCCCGGTCCAGTCCGGAAGATCGAGTCGAGTAAAAAGACTCCGGGCCGCCCCGTAAAAAATGACTCGGGCCCGACTCGAAACCTCCAACCCTAATTATAGGATTACCTTAAAGTTGAATTGGACACGCTCCTGCCCTGAATGTTTATAAGTAAATGATGGGTTAGGAATGATCAGGAAAGAAAAAATTTTAATTTTTTATTTAAACGTTATTTGCTATTTGACTAGTAACAAATTTTTCGTTTCTGTTTAATTTTTGACGTTGAATTTTTGAGGACTTTTTATTCCATAACAATTATTATTAAAATTTAAATATTATATTTATTTTTTTTAATAGAATTAAGTGTTCGTCAACTTGTATTATTAAATTGTGTTGCTAAATTGGATGGAAGAAATAATCAAATTTTTGAATTTAATTATAGAGAAATTATTAATGGTTTTTTTTTGTTTTTAAATTTTTTTTAAATTAATTTTTAAAAAGAATATTATCGTTTTGCTAATGAAAATAAAAATTCGATGAGAGTATCTGATGTTGTTCTTTACAAGGATTTACAAGAATTGGTTGATTTGGATTTATTGGTGGTTGCTAAAAAGGTGGATAATGGACAACTTCCTTTTAGGTTTTTTAATTTTAAAAAATTTTCTAGGAGTTTTTCTGACTTTTCTAACATTTCCTAAATATTCTTACATCCAAAAATATTCTCAAATTTTTAGGTATTCCAATTATTTTTTCAAACTGACATTTTTCTGGTTTTTAAATTTTTTACTCAGAATTTTTGATTATTACAATTAAAAACATAAAATAGAGAAAATCTTTTGGGACTGGATTTTTCCTCTTATTTTTTATTAAAGGGTAAAAAAATATTCCTTTTCCTATGTATAAAATAAAATCTTTTAAAATTTTAAATATTTTTTTTTAATTTTCAGAAGAGTAATGTTAAATATTGAACAAGAAGCAATTTCTGATTGTGCAAAATTACGAAAAAAATTAATCCCGGAGCCTGTAGTTGACTGGTTTAATTCTGATTTTTAATTTAAATTATTTTTTAAATTCTTTAAATATTCCTAAAATATTGATTTCTTTTAAATAAAAACAGGATATTTAATATTTTAATAAAATTTCCCCCAGTCCTTTGTTAGCAAATATAAACTGGAAATTCTATTGTAAATATATTTTTACAAAATAATTTTCACTTTTATTAAAAGAAGGGAGAAAATCCTTTTTTATTTGTTTGCCTTTCTAGTTTTGTTTAAATTGAATATATTTTTAATCGGATTTGAAATAATATTAATTTTTAAATTTACGAGGCAAATTTTAAGGAAAGGAGGGTTGGAATTGTTAAAAATGATTTGGGGATATGATGCCTTCTTTTGGATTTTTGGGGACTTTCGATAAATGAAAAAACTCTATCCTAGAAATGATCAACTCTCAAGGATTTTTTTCGGAGGGAGGGAGTGGCTCAGGCCTGTAAAGGGGTTAAGGCCATAAGGCTTAAGCCGTTAAGGCCCTTAACCCCCCTCCCCTGGTTATGGGCTTGACGAATCCTCCTCAGTTATTATTTTGTCCATTGATTTGTTGGCTGTTTTCTCTCTTGATATCCAGAACAATCAGTCGTCTACGAGCTGTTTAATTCATAATTTTAATAGAAAATTATTCTAAATTCTCCAAGCACATTAAAAATTGATTTGAAAGAATGCTCATCTAATTTTTTTGAGATTTTCTTTGTTTATAAAATTCCACTTTTTTGCTTCTTAAAAATTTTCTTTTTTTTTTTAAAAAAGCTTTCTTTTTAATTTTATAATTCTCCAAGTGGACATTCCATGAGAATTTTTTGAAGAGAAGAAAATTTCCCTTACGCAGAATTTAGAAAGGGAGAGTAGAAAGTAATAAAAACGAAGAGAGTGAACAAAAAATAGTGAAATTTTGTGGCAGCCGGATCCTTTTTCCTTCCTTTCCCCTCAATATCTGTGAAATACGTCAGAAAGAAAAAGGGATATAATGGGGCTTTGTTGTAGGGATCGCCCGTAGAGAGTCGCTTCAACCGGACCGTCCATCAACACAAAAATGACCCAATTTGGGCGGGCAACTGCTACTGCACATAGTAGTAGATGAGTTTTAGAAGAGAAAATCGCACGCAGAAAAATCCGTTCATACAGAGAGAGAGTGCCTATAACTTTCTCTCGCAGTCATTTTATATTCATTATTTCCTCTGGCGCTGATTTTGAAAGATATAAGAAATTCAAAAAAAATTCCAGAATAATTTCAAAAAATCCTTAAAATTATTATTCTCCAAACCTTCCTTTGTTTAGCAAAATATGAAATTAATTTAAAAAACTAGAAAATCTTCAAATGTGTAGAGAAGCAAAAACAGAAAATAATCAGGTTAGACAAAATTAAATTATATGAGAGATTAAATTAAAATGAGAGACAGCAGAGAAAAAAATTAAAAATAAAATTTGTATATTTTGTCATTTATTTTTAAAATAAATTCATTTTGCCAAAAATGCAAAAATTTTGTAGTTTAAATTTTTAGACTAATTAATTGATTTTTCTGATTAGGATTTCTTTAACAAAAATTTTTTAAACGTTGTTATTTAATTTTCAAATTATTTTTAGTTATTTTTAAATAAATTTATTTAGATTCTGCTTACCGGTATTCAATAAATTATCAATGCCCCGAATTTCAAAATGTGACAATTTTATAACTCTGGTAAATTTAAAAAATTTAAATTTATTTCAAAAAAATTTTTTTTCTTTTTTAAAGACAACAAAATCAATCTTCACTTTTTTAATCTTTTTAATTTTACTAAACAACGCTTTTGCTGATGCTGGTTCTCAAAATATTTTGACTTCAACAACAATTGTTTGTCCAATGAATTTAACTGAAAAATTGCCCTGTTTGTGCCATGCTCTTTTTGAACAAAAATCTGTTCAAATTATTTGTACTGGGACTTTACCAGAGAAAATATGGAATGAATTGAATGGTTATAGTATTTCTATTGGAAAAATGGCTATAAGGGATTGCCCCGAAATTATTGAAAATTTTCAGCCTGTGCCCCCATTGACGGTTTTTTTGAAATAAATTTTTTTTGAAAATTTTTTTATAAATTTTTTTGCAGATTCGAAGTTTAGAAATTTCAAATTGTCAAATTAACCAAATGCCCCCAACTTCTTTTGACTCTCTTTCAAATTCTTTGGAAGAACTTTGGTTGCTCAATAATTCCCTTACTTCTATTCCAAAATTGTCAAAATTAAAAAATTTGGTTGCTTTGAATTTAAATGTGAATGAATTGAAAAAGTTTCCGGACAGTTCTTTAATTGGATTGAAGAAATTGAAACATTTGAGACTTAAGAAGAATAAAATCTGTTCTCTTGTGTAAGTTTTTCTTTAATTTTTTTAAATAGAGGGTAGTTATTTGTGGGTAGGGATTTATTTAAGACTGAAGAGTCATTCCTAAAATCAACAGAGTTATTCCTAAAAAATCTTTTTTGACCTATATGGGAAGTTTTGGACCCGAAGCCTGACCCAATTTTTTCTCTCAACTTGTGACATCCATAGTTTATAACTCAATCCTTCTTAACTAGGAAAGGTTGCGAGGTGTCCGACCTAAAAACGGTCGAAACCTGGTTCAAATCCTTGCTAGAAAGGGCACATTCTCTATCGAATGAGCCTGGTCTCGACCGTTTTTAGGTCGGACACCTCGCAACCTTTCCTAGTTAAGAAAGCCTTCTCCAGTACTTCTGTTTTTGACTCTACCTCATTATTTTTTCAATTAAAATTCATCTAATTTTTCTTAAAACTTTTGTCTTTAATTATTCAAATTAGAATTTATTTTTTCCCCATCCCTTCTTGAACAGCCATATCTTCACCTTCTTTATAATATTTTATATTTATTTGTCCCCCTTATCCTTTTCAACTTCTCAATTTTTTGTCTTATATTTAAAGCGATCTCTTCTCTTCCCCCAACCAAAAATATGATTTGGGTAGCGCAATCAAAACAATACTTCCTTCTTTTTTTTAAATTTTGTTCACTTATTTTTGACCTAATTTTTGTCTCGATTCGCAATCCTTAGAAAAAAGAATTTTTTCTCTTACCTATTACCCTTCTAAATTATCTAATAATGCTTGACTTTTTCTTCTTTCTTCGCTTTTTCTTCGTCAATATTGTGAAGAGATTTTTGTTTATTAATGACAAATCCGACAATTGATTGTGTCAATTACTTATTCCGTAAATTTATATAAAAACGGGGGAAAGAAAGAGGGTTAATTAAATTATTTGGAAAGAAATTAAAAGGGAAGGATAAATATAAATTTGAAATTAAAAAATAGAATATTTAAATAAATAACGGTGGAGTGGAAGGAACATTTATAGGTTGAAAGGGGCATTTAATAGTGTGTATTTTTAGATTTAATAATTTTTGGGACAAAATGTCATCTTTAGAAATAAGTTTTAGATTTAAAATTTACATTTATTTTCACATATGTATTTTAACCCACTAAAAGTTTGTTAAGTTAAAGTTGTTTTTAGTAAACTCTAATTTTAAGTTTTTTCAACTTATGTGGGTTTTTGCTCCTTATTTTCCTCGTAAAATCTTACAAGTTTTTATCTTCCTTGTCTTAATGTTAAGAAATTCTACAATATCCGAGAGAAGTCTTTGGATTTTTGAGATGACACACTTTGTCCCAAAATTGAGGGCCAATCTTCTCCCCCTCATAACTTAACTTTAATTCTCTTTTTTAGACATCCATTTACTGACCAAAAGAATGTTTTGGAATTACTGGACCTCAGTCAAAATTGTTTTGTTTCAATTCCAATAATTGCTTTGAGAGGCTTATTAGAACTTAAATATTTAAGTTTGGCTGGAAATTTGATAGAAGAAATTGGTCCAATGCATTTTATGAGTTTACCTCAACTTGTCGAACTTCGAATGCAAAATAATAAATTAACAAGAATTGTTCCAAATGGATTTATGAATGTCCAAAAATTGCAAATTTTGTTACTTCAGAATAATTCTCTCTCAACTTTTGACCCTGGAACTTTGGAAGGATTTAAAGAATTAAAATTGGTTGATTTGAGTTTAAATGAATTTAATCAGGTTTGTTTTAAATTCTGAATAATATTTTTAAATAATTTTACTGGTAGTCCTAATAATTATTTTTAATATTTTGTCCGGGCATTTTTATTTGCCCCGAGTGAATTCATTTTAGTTTACGTATAGTTAGGAGCAAAATTAAAAATTAAACTTTGTTACCGAAAGTTCTAAAGCTTTGAATAATTGACGGAAATTAGAATAAAAACGGAAAATTTTTTTAAGCAAATAAATTCATTAAGGCTTTGATAATTTTAGCGCGTTACTCTGTACAAATGTGGTTAGATAAATGAAAAAATAATTTTTTATGAAATTATTTTTTCAAAATTTTTTTTCCTTTTATCTTTTAAAGATATTTGAGGTCTAAAAGTAGGGCTATCGACAAATTAAAATTGTCTTTCGATTTCTGACAACCCTGGTTGATAGTTCTTCCAAATTTTTTAAATCTTTCCCATCATTAAGATTTAAAAAAATATTTTTCTTTCCAGATTCCTTCATTTAAAGATATGAATGAATTGATTGAAGTTCGTTTAGACAACAACAGAATCGATTCAATTAAAACTTTGGCTTTTTCTTCCAATCCAAATTTACAAAAAATTTCACTTTCTGGTAATCAAATTGAGACAATTGCTAGGAACAGTTTTGACGCTTTGGACCAATTAGAATTTTTAAATTTAGCTGATAATGGACTTGTGACTATTGGTTGGTGAAAATTATTTTTTTTTGAATTAAAAAAATATTTCATAATTACTGATCACATTTTAAATTTCTTGGAATAAGCATTTGGGAAAATTATAATGGATTTTTACCTTCAAAATCATCAAAATTGAAAAAAAAGGTTTAGAGAATAGAATGGGACTCAATCCAGCTTTTCCAGTAGATCTTCCGTTTTCTTTGATTTGGGTTCGGGACATATTCTGACATTTTAAAATCCCTGTTTTCACTTGTCTCTTTATTTTCGAATTTGGATTTTCATTAACTAAACTAATGTCTAAGGCTTTAAAATCCTTTCAATTTTTCAGAAAGAGGAATGATTGAAGGAATGAAACATTTAAAAGATTTAATACTTCGAAACAATTCAATTAATAATTTGAGCCGTGAATCTTTTCTTTCAATTCAAGAACTTGTCTCTTTAGATTTGAGCCATAACGAATTAAGCAATTTAAAGACTGGGACTTTTGCTCCACTTCAAAGACTTCATATACTTAAATTGGACAATAATAAATTGGAAACAATTGAAGAGGGAGCTTTTGATTGGAAAGTTGATACTTTGTTGCTTGATGGTTTGTTTTGATTTTTAAAAGAATTTTTTTGGGGTGAAATATAAACTTGATTGCCGCATTGCGAATAAATTTTGTTAAATTAGAAAATATGAATTAGAATATAATTTATATTTTCCGGAGTAAACAGTTTGGATTTAAATAATTTATTATAAAATCTGAGTGGTCTATTAGAGATAAACCATTTTCTTGAACCTTTCAAAACTAGTTGACATTCCAGAAAATTAATTTCAAACCTGGAATTTTCTGTAAACAGGATTAATTCATTCGAACTGATTAGCTTCAGGGTGTCCCTTTTTGTCTCATTTTGTCCGAGGTATTTGCCAGCTTTTTGAGAAGCCACCCTTCTTTTGGTGATTTTAAAGGGATACCCTGATTACCTGATAAATATTTTAATCGTTAAACATAAATTTTTAAAGGAAATTCTCTTCGTTGTGATGACAAATTAGATTGGTTTGTCGACTGGCTAGTTCGAAACAAAGTCCGAACTTTTGTTCCAGACCAACCAGAAATTCGTTGTGCTTCACCAGAACAAAAAAGAGGAACTCGATTAAAAGAATTAATGATTAAAAGGAATAATTTGACAGAATCTTTAATCGAAACTTCTTTAAAAAACATTCCTGGATTACCGCAAAATGTCAACAAAAATAGAGCAGCAGAAGCAGCAGGGAATTTCTTGGCTAATTTATTACCAAATGGAGGTGGTGGACATCAAAGAGCGGGAACACAAATTGGCTCTGAAATGCTTAATACTTTTGCTAAAAATATTCCTGAACTTCGAAATTTGCCGGGAATGGAATTTGTTCAAAATTTAAATCCGGCAGCATCAACAATTGGAAAACAAAAGAATGAGGGAAATGTTGGAGGGGGAGGAATTGATACAGCTATTGACAAGGTTTGGAGGATTTTTTTGGGTGAATTAAAAAAAATTTTTAAAGTTTTCTGAACCGTTGGTGAAGTTTGCTTCAGGCGTTCCCCCATCTTCTGCTGATGTAGACCAACTACTCTCTTCAATTCCGAGTTTAATTGTTAATGTTCCTGGTTTTGGAAATGTTGATGTTAGCAAGGTAGAGGGAAGAATTTAATTCTGTTTGAAATAATGGGAAAATTAAATTGGCAGAATTTTTTAACTTTTAAGCACCTTAATTAACACAAATTGGTCTTGGAATTCTAACATTAATTCTTGCTACTAAATTTATAAAAAAACGTCTTTTAGTTAAATCCATCCATTGTTGGTTATGTGCTTAAAGGAGGACAAATTCCTGGTATTCCACGTGAAACACTCGACAACATTGTCAAGCAGTACATGCAAAGATTATATGTTGCAGCAGCACAGGCACAAGGAATTTCAACTTCTGACCTTCCAGTAACTGTTGACACAAATACTACAAGTAGAATATTGAGACCAATATCTGAATTACCTCATGGACTAGTTCAGAGTGTTATTGAAGGGAAATCACTTCCACATTTGACAACTGAGCAAACTAACGTTATTAAGGTGGGAGAAATTTTATTTTCAAAAAGCATTTTAATTGTAACATTGTGGGGCCTATTGGCAGGTTTCTTTTGGGTGGTTTCCTGCTCCTCGGTTTATTTCTTGTTCTATCGAATTAGATTCGAAGGTCTCTCATCGGCTAAGCCTGGGATTGAATTTAAAGGGGAATTCTGCTTTTTAGGACTCTTCGCTTCTGCCTTCTTTCTCCTGCTTTTTAAAATACGGCAGTGCCCATTCTATGGTCATCTAAGCCAGGGGACGATATTCATCTAAGACTTTTTCTCCCTATAAAATTTTTAAAATCTTAAAAAATAATTGTTTACCTTTTTTAAAGGAATATTATACCCAACATGCTCCAATCGGTTCAATAGAAGGTATTAATACAACAACTGGAATTTCTGATATATTACCTCAAAAAGTTATTCAAATGATGCAGCTTCTTCCAAAAAATTACAATTTAAGTAAACTTCAACCAGAAGTTGTTAAACAAGTTATGAAAGGAGAAATGCCTGATTTTACTAAATTACCTTTGGATTTACAGCAACATATTAAAGACAATTTTGACAGACTTTTGGCTTCTCTTAGTAAAGATGTGAGTTTTTTTTTTGAATGTTTTTTGGGAATGTTTGATTTTTTGTTGGTATGCGGGAAAAGATTTTTATAGGGAATAGTGTAAAGTTCGGGGTTTGAAATAAACTGCTCCCATGAAAAGTGGAAGACTGTCAATGCTAAAATTAAGGCCCTAATAAAATTATTTTGAAAGTTTTTGAATAAAGCTGTGATTTTTACGGGCCAGTTCTTCATTTGGTTCGGGTTTTAATGGGAAAATGCTCCTTGTGGAAGGAATTAGTTTCATTTATAGTTCTCATTCATTCTTCTAATTTTCTCAAGTTTTTTCTCGAATCCCACTTATGTCTTAAAGGAATATCTCCTCTCTACTCATTTTTCATTTCAAATTCAATTATCCATCTTTAGACTTGGAACCGTCAATATAATCTTAAAAAATCCCAAAATAATTAGAGAAGTCTAACCCCTTTAATAATTTTTTCTTTCAGCACAAAATGACCGTGGAAGAGATTTTATTAAAATTACCAAAATTTGAACAACCAGAATTATCAACATTTTCTCCTTATGACATTAATGTTGTCGACTCTGATTTGGTAATTAAAGAGAGAAAAGAAGAAGAAGACAGAGCAAGATTTTGGAGATTTATTGCAGCAATTTCGTTAGGGTTGGCAGGAGTATTAACTTTGGGTGTTTTGTCTGCATTTCTTTGGTATTGGCGTCGGACAAGATCAGCAAGGCATGGAGTTTCTGATATTTCTGAAAGAGGCCCAGGAGTTCTTCCTTCTGTTGTTAGAGAACAAAGCTTTAGGCCATCAGCATTTTCTACACTTAAATGACACATTTTTTATAAATAAATTAACATTAAATTAGTAGAAGTATGTAGATCTTCTTACAGTCAAGCCTCATTTTTAGATAAACCTCAAATTTTTAAGATATAGTTTTTAAGGTTGGTGGGCCGCGGCCTAATACCACCCTCAATTTAAAATATCTCTTATTCTATAAGATACAATTTACCCTAATCTTAAAGGTTATCTAAAAATGAGGTTCGACTATTAGAATAAAAAGCTCAAAAATATTTTTTAAATTTTGGACATTATATTTAAAAGACTGTGCTTTTTAACTAGTTTTTTGGTTATTTTGATTTTTTAAAAATTAATTTTTTGGTTAAAAATTTCACAGTCTTTAATAATGTACTCAATTCCTTTATTTATTTTTCAATGACATTTTATCACTTTTATGTATTTATTTATTCCTGGCACATTCCAGACATTGCACAACATCTTGTAGAATTTATTTTAAATTTTAAACAGATTTATATTTTGGAATAAAGACATTCTTACTATATTATTTTTCAAAAATACCTAATTTTTTTGAAAAAAAAAGAATCGAGATTAAAGCCTTTCTTAGTTGGTGGACTTTTTAAATTTCTCATATTGAATTTTGTTCTCCTAAAATTTTCTAGGTATCATAACTTATTTTGGTTATTTAATTGTAAATCCTCACAGAATCTAAAAATTTGTCATGCCTCTTTTTAATCGGTAGAGAATGGCCTAGAGATTTAGCTAACTCTAAAGCCTCTCTAATGAGTTTCTCTGACGAGCATGGGGGAGTTCTCTAATAAAATTTTAAAAAAAATAAAATTAATTATCCAATTCACATTTTCATTTATTTCACCGCTAAAAACAAAATTTATTATAACAATAATTCATAAAAAATATTTATGTGCTTCTAGGCTTATTAATATTGCCTGCGGCAATATAATCAAAAAGTGATGGTGCGCGGGCCGACAATTGTATAAAAATATTAAAATATTATTTATTTGTTCAAGAGGGGAAAAAAGAAGGGAAGGAGGGAAGTGAATCTGTCTTTCTCTCTTTTAGAACGTCTGGAAGAATGAGGAAAAAATAGATGTAGAAAATGTCGCGGAAATGCTTTAAAAATGAAAGGGAAGACGATTTATAGAAATTGACTGGATCGGGGCAGTAAATGAGGGGGGGGGGGGCAGGCCGACGATTTGTGAACTCTCTTTCTCTTTATGGGATAAATGTTTAATAATAATTGTTCTTATTTTTAATTTTTCTATTAAATTTTGCCAAAAATAATATATTTAAAGATATGGCAATTTTTGAGCAAAAATTGCTCTATTGTTGTTGCTCTACCTTTAAGCTATCGGCGGTAATGAATCAGGGGTGTGCCGTTTCGCCTTTCATCTTTTGGATTATTTTTTTGACTTTCACCTTTCATGTTTCGACTTTTATGGGTCTGATGTTCTCTCTTTTAAAGGAATTTTAAGTTAAATTTAAGGGATATCTCCCGTTCATTACATCCCCCTTTATTTGTCCACAATAAAGTCAATTTTCCGTTTATTTTTCTGTCTGAGCTTAAATTTTTTAAATAAAATCCATTACATATTTTCTCTTAAATTAATTTATTTAGTTCTATTTAAATATATTAGTCAGTCGATTAGCGAATTAAATATATACATACGTCTTTACATATATATTTTGCAATTAGTCTTCAAGGTCATTATTTCATTTAAGAAAAATCTACATACATTTTTGGTTAAACTGGCTAGAAATGAAAAAACTAGTTAATTATTTTTAAAATAAATTTATATTAAATTAAATTAATTTTTCCGTCCAAACCTCAAATAAATAAATATAAAATACATATCCCCCTTGGCCTCATAGCTTAAAATTTTTGTTCGTCAAATGAATTAACCCCTCGTACTGTGTCCAACTTTATTTAAACCCTGCTCAATTTAATTTGGTGGAAGGGCTTTAGTTTTGCCGGACAGAAATCTTTGGCTAGGATGTCAGGTCCAGATTTGGAAATTTGAGGAGCAACAGTCCTTAATTAGATTCCCCTTTGTCTTATTATAATTCTCTCATTCCCCCCTTTTTTCTTGACGATTGAATGCCTGCGTCCTTTACATTAATTCCTAAAATTCCTATAAATAAAGGAAATAAATTAATTTTAAAATTATCTCTCTCTCACCTCTAAAAAACATAAAAACGCTGTATTAAATCATTAAATTATTTAATTCCTTTCGTCAGTTCTTCTTCTAATCAAATAGAGCAAAGGGCATTAGAAAGACCCTTTCCCTTTTCCTTCCTTTTTTGCTTAATTTCCACCCTATATATTTTCACTTTTTCATTAATTGACGCCTTTCTTTTTAAAATTATTTTAGAATTATATTCACATTTCTCTTTTCTCCTATTCTCTTTAAAAAAGAGAGAAACACGTTGCCCCCAAGAAGCCGCGCAAATGCCACAACAAAAATTGTGGGGTAAAAGAAAGGGAAAAAAGGGCCACAATTGATTACGTTTTTGATTTATTCGCGAAAAAATAAATAAATATATATTTACGTGTGTATTTGAGCATTACAAATTTATGGTCTTCTCTTTTTTTAATTATTTATATTTTTGTAATTTTTTGGAACAGAAAAGAAAGAAAAGAATTAATGTAATCTTTCCTCTTCAATTAAATAATAAATAATATATATAAATATATATTTATAAATATATATAAAAATATATTGTTTTTATTATTTCCGCTAATTTTTATTATTAAAAAAAATAATATTTTTTTCTAAACTTATTTTTCAATCATGAATATTAAATTTTATATGAAAAAATTTTCAAAGGTTGTCAATATGATTTTGACACCAAAGGGCATCGAACCTTACTCACCAAGGTTTACCTGCTGCGAATTAACCCACTCAACTACACGCCTTGATTTTTTCATTTTATTTTAGTATTGTATACCGTGTTCATGCTGTGGAAAAATTGTGGATGGGAGATGGAATTGAACCATCAAGGAATGAGCCCAGACCGAAGCACAACCGACTGTGCCACCATCCAACCCGATGTTGGGTTATTTATTTTCATTTATGTTCTTTCTGCAAGTGCGGACACAACACTCCTTCCGCCTTGCGAAACCAAGCGTCCTCGCTTGTTGCTTGTCTTCAATTACTATAAACTGTTTTTGATTTTTGGGAGAGCACACACAGAAACCCATTTGTGGCATTCTTTTCTAGCTGCTCACTCAGAGTCTTATGCTTCTCTCTAGCTGCTCACACAGAGTCTTACGCTTTCTCTAGCTGCTCACACAGAGTCTTACGCTTTCTCTAGCTGCTCACACAGAGTCTTACGCTTCTAATTTCTACCCGCACACAGCTCAGGCGATACTCACAGGGTCTTCTCCTTATTTCTCTAGACAGTTAAAGCATTTCAGATCATCACAGCATGCCGGTTCGCTAAAGTTTCCTCGGGCTATGCCCGGCGGGTCGTGGCACCATTATTGTATACCGTGTTCATGCTGTGGAAAAATTGTGGATGGGAGATGGAATTGAACCATCAAGGAATGAGCCCAGACCGAAGCACAACCGACTGTGCCACCATCCAACCCGATGTTGGGTTATTTATTTTCATTTATGTTCTTTCTGCAAGTGCGGACACAACATTTAGTTTTTAAAGAAAAATTATTAGAGAGTCCGAGACTCTTGGTCTCGAGACTTTTCTTTGGCTCAAGACTTTTCTTGGGGTTTCTTCGGTTTTGGTCTTGGGGTATAGCCTTTGTCTTGGAAAATTTAATTTTTTTTAAATTAATTTTTCTCTTAAAAGAATTATTAAGTATATTTAGCCTTTTAATTTTCCCTTTAAATTTCTTTTCCAAATAATTACCTAAAATATGTATTATCATATTCTTATTTTTTGTTCTTCATTTTTGTTGAAATAAAAAAGCTATTTTAGGTGCTTATATAAAAAGATTCTCCTTTTTTCCCTTTCCGAAATATAATGGTGAAATGACCCCCGAACTTTAACTAAAATTTGCGCGAAATAAAATAACCCTCTCTCTCTCCTCCTCAACAATCGGAAATTATTTTTAAAAAGAAAAAATATTAAAATATTTATTTAATTATTGTAAAGCTTTTTAAAACATTTCCTCTTCCCTTTCTCTCCCATTTTCCGTCTAATTTCCGCCTTTACAAATTGGCATGTTTAGGCGCAAAAGTAACGCTTGCGTGATCGTTTATAAAACAAACAAATGAGAAAACTTGGAAACGTGAATTTTTGCTTAAAATTTAATTAAAAATGTTTTAGGTTTATTTTTCAGAATTTTTAAATATATTTTAACTGAAAATACAAAAATTAAGAAATCTAAAAAATTTTTGAGGTTTTTTATATTTTTTAAACAATTTTTTGCAAAAAATATAATAAAAATTCTAAATATTTAATTCAATCTGTATAATAATAAAAATATTTTAGCAAAATTTTACTAATATTTTTTGTTTTTGTTTTTTTTTGTTTTCTATTTTAAAAACTTTTTTTTCTACAAATTTAATTTGTCCGATGGTTGTCGGAAATTGCCAAAGTTACCAAGTTTTCGAGCACAAAAATAATACTTTATCAAAAGTAAAAAGTTATAAATTAAACATGGGGAGATAAAAAAGATTAAGGACTAGCCAAGCTAATATGATCCAATTAGAAACTTGATCCAAAAAAGTTATTACAATTTAAAAATTATTAAATAATCTTATAAAAAATAAACGTTCACTATATGTATTAAATTTCTATTATTTTTATAACCCAAATTTTTCCTTAATTAAGTAGTTAAGCTTCATTTTTTCTTAATACAAAATTACAAAATTTTAAACTTCATTTCTAACAATTAAATAATCATTATTCACGCCCAACCCTCTAAATATCTACGCCCAATTCCCCCCAGTTACATTACAAAATTTAAAACAATTTTTTTTCTTGAATTTTTATTTGGCTTGTTCTCCCCTCTTTCCTTTTAATTTTCCTTTACTCCTTCAAAATTTTTCGGTGTAAATAGCAAAACTTTACAAACAATTCTTTAATTTAATTTGAGTTTATTCGCGCATTTTTTCAATAAACGAAAAAATTTTTTCTGAAAAAAATTCTTTGTTTGATTTAATTTTTTTATTAATCGATTTATTAAATTTAAACTTTTTTCTTTAATTTTTAAAAATATTTAAATTATTAAAATTTAATTATTAAAATTATTTTAAAATTAGTTAAGAGAAAAATAAATTTGAATTATTTCTTGGATAAAAAATAATAATTTAATTTTGTTAAAGAAATATTTTAGATAATTAAAGGGATTAATTATATACTTCTATTATACAAAATTTTTAAAATTAGAGGGATAAGACTGGGTTAAATTTAAAAAATAGTGTCGTTACAAAGTTCTCTTTTTGACTGACAAAAATAATAATAAAATTTTTATTTAAAACTTTTACTTAGAATATAAATATAATTTAATATTTTTAATTATTCAATTAAAAAAAAATTATTTTTTAAATTTTTTCAACAAATTTTTCTACAAAAATTGACCGCAATATAAATTAAATTCTATAGGGTTTTTAATTATATATTCCAGCAATGTTTGTAAAACATTCATTAAAACAAACAAATTATTTAAACAAACATCAAAAACAACAAAAACATTGTTTATATAAAAGAATGACAACACTAACTATTTGTTTTAATTTTATTTTGTTTTGCACAGTTACAACAGGTTTGTTTTTATTTGTTTTTATTTTGTTTGTTTGTTTGCAACTGTTAATTATAAAAAGAGTGGAAAACGATTATAATATGTATAATAATTATAAAAAATAAAATTTTTTTTTTATAATTTTTCCATTTACTCAAATAAAATCTGGCAGATCAGATTTTAGAAAAATAAATTAAAAATTGAAATGTTACGAGATAAGGGTTGGAAGAGGATGATACTTAAAGAAAGAGCTAATAAAAAGTTATGAACAAATAATTTTTAAATAAAAATTAAATTAATTTAAAAAAATTAAAAGATATTTTTTAATGAGAAAGACTTCACATTTTTTTCTCCAATAAAATATTTAGAAAATAATCAAATTAGTTAAAAAACATTATTATTTTAATAAAAATATTTTCAATTAAAACATTTTCTCAACACGGGAAAAACGTTTTACATTCCCTTTTTTGCTTTATAAAAAATAAAAAAAATTTTATTTTAAAGTTTTTGGAAGTGATGAAAACCCAATAATCCGAAATTTTAAATGTCGTCTAAATGGGTGTTGTGATCAACATGAATGGTGTAGATTTTGGGCTACAATGGGGGAATGTGGAAGTAATTCTGGATGGATGTGTAAATTAAATAGAAAAATTTAAAAAATATCAAAAAAATTTTTTAGCAATTAATTGCCAATTAGCTTGCGGAACTTGTACAAGACGTAAATAAAAACAAATTAATTTGCTTTAAATGTTTTGATGTTTTTTAGCGCCTGTTACAAGAAGACCGCCACAAACACAAGCAGCTACTCTTCCCTTTCGTTTTCCCAACAACCCTTTTATACAAACACATTCAAGACAGCCACAAACATTTCCTCATTTATTTGTTACACGAACATCCCCTACAACACACCCAACAACCCATCCAACAACAACACAAACAACAACAACATTTAGACCTCCACCCCCTCCTCCACCCCCACCCCCACCTCCAACAACAACTATACACACAACAACAACTACACAAACAATTGTGTCTAACCCAACAGAAAGGTGCAGACAAATACAAAGAGATCCCGCTAATGCTGCTGAAGTTTTACTTAGAGAAAGATTAGTTGTTGCAACTGAAGGTGTTTTTAAAATGTTTAATTAAAACATTCAAAGAAAAACATTGAACAAAACTTGAATAAAAACAAACTTGAAGGAAAACATTATATAATAAGTACCTTAACAAAACATTCCCCGACAAACAAACTTTAATTAAAACTTTCCCAACAAAACAAACTTTAACAAAACATTCCAAACAAAACAAACTTTAATTAAAACATTCCCAACAAACAAACTTTAATTAAAACATTTCCCAACACTCTCAAAAACAATTTTTCTAGAAAACATTCCCCAAACTTGTTCTAAAAAACAAAAACAATATTAAATATTTTTAGATAATTCTGGTCGTCATCCTCTAACACAAGAACAAGTTGGTAAGTAAAATAAATTTATTAATGTTTTTCAATGTTTTTTTCTCCAAGTTCGTTCCAACATTGCAAATGCTTGTGTTCCTAGGTTAGATGAAGCAGAATGTGAACGGTCATTAATTTTTAATTTTTTTAAATTTTTGAATTATTTTTTAGTTCTCTCTGTTATAATTTACATTTTCGAACAATGGACGGAACTTGTAATAATTTTCAGGTATTTTCTCAAAAAAAAATTGAAAAATAATTTTTTAAATTAGTTTCCCCTTCGAGGTGCAGCTTTCCGCCCTTATAGTAGGCAAGTTTAGAGTATATCTTTTTAAAATTTAATTATCTAATTAAAGATTAATGCCTCCAGAATATGATGGGGGATTGTCTGAACCTGTTTGTATGTTTCTCTTTCTAAAAAATTTATTTTTTAAATTTATTTACAGCTTCAATTACAAATATTCGCCCTAGTCCTAGAGAAATTAATCGACAAGTATTGTCTACTGCTAAGGTAATATCGTAGTTAAAATAGAGGGTAGGAGAGAGCGACTGGACGAGTCGTACCAGAATCGAGTATTGATATTTTAAGAACTCTTGATGACTGATATATTTGTTCAAGATTTAGAAAAAGATCCGAGCTCTAAGGTGTTTATCTCCCTATATTTAATAAATTTTATTTTATTTTTATTTTATATTTTTAATAATCTCCCACTCGTAGCTATGAATTAAAAAATTTTTTTATCTCAATCAAAATAAAAAATTTTAAATTAAAAATAGCAAGTAGTCCATCAAGAATACAATGCTTTATTAATGCAATTTGGCCAATTTATGTCCCACGATATGGCAAAGACTACTTTGGTGCCTTCTGCCAAATGTAATGTTTGTCAAAATATTCCTTCTCGAGTATGTTTAAAGAAAATTATTTTTCTAAATTTTTAAAATAACTTTTTCAGTGTATGGCAATATTCCTCGCCCCCGCAGACCCAAATTCCAATTTCCGAGCGGATGGCTGTTTGAGAGTCTCTCGTTCCTCTCCGATTTGTGGCTCGGGAAGAACTAAGCCTCGACAACAATTAAGTGAAAATACTGGATATATTGATGGATCTCCGATATATGGCTCTTCTGTTGGGGATTTACACAAATTTAGAGAGGGCGCTACTGGATTTTTGAAATTAAATAATTTTAATGGGTAAATATTTGGAGAATTAATTTTAAATGTTATTTTAATCCTCATTTTTTTCATGACTAAAACCGATAAGTTAAAGGCTCTATTTTGTAGTGGATATTAATGTATTTCCTCGATTAATTACTCTTGATTAATTACACCCTCCGGGGATTGTCTGTAAAATAATTACCCAGGATAATTAGTCGAAAGATAACAGTTAATTTACCGATTTTTTGATGGAATTTTTATATTTAATGAAAGGTCTTTAGTTACATATAAATTTAACTTTCCCATTACATTTTTCGGGAGTAGGCCAACGTACCGCAAAACTATAACTTCGTTCAAAATGCTCAAATCCGGGACACTCTGATATGATTCGATTCAGATCGTCGAGATGCATCGAACCATACCAAGGCGTCCCAGATTCGACCAGTTTGAACGAAGTTACAGCTCTGCGGTACGATGGGGTGTACCCCATTTTTCATTATTGCTTTATCAATAGTGTTGGGGGATTGGGGGAAGGGGAACCCCGACGGCCTTATATTATAATTATTTAATAATCTCCATTTCAATAATTACCTAACTTTCCTAAGTTTTTCCCATTTATTATTTAATTCAAAATATTTATTATTTCCAGAATGCGTCTATTACCTTTTGATTCTTCAAAATGCCGTAATTCGGGGGACTGGTAATTCTTTCAAAATTAAAAACTGAATTTTTGAATATTTTTAAAATTAAAGTTCTGCAACATTTATTGCTGGAGATAGTAGAGTAAATTTATTTTTGGGATTAACCTCCTTTCATTTATTACTTACAAGAGAACATAATCGGTTAAAGAAAATCTTTTAATAAAATTTTCAATAATTTATTTAAAGAATAGCTTCCCGTTTACAAAGACTTAACCCCCATTGGAACGGCGACAGACTTTTTCAAGAAACTCGAAAAATTGTTGGGGCAGAAATTCAAGTTTGGGGGGAGGAGGAAAATATTTTGTTTAAATTTAAATTGTTTTTAAGGCTATTTGTTATAGAGAATATTTACCTAAAGTTTTGGGGTCTTCTTTTGCTTCTACAGGTTAATTAGGAAGAATTTAAGAGAAAATTTAATTCTTTAGTTGGTTCTTATCGTGGATATGATCCAAATGTGGATTCTACAGTAGCTAATGAATTTACTTCGGGTGCCTATCGGTTTGGACATGGAATGATACAAGTGAGGGACTGAAAAAATATTTTTTTTAAAAATTCTGAAAAAAATTTTAAAAAAATTAAAAAATTTTTAAATGATTTTTTTTCAAAAATTCCCCCCTAAAAAATATTATTTTTTAGGAATTTTATCAACGTTTGGACGCTTTCAACAGAACAATTCCTTTTGGGGGCTTTGCCTTTGTAGATGGCACATTAAAATCTGACCGACTAATTTTCCAAGGGGGAATAGACCCTATAATTAGAGGGATGATGTCACAACCTTTAAAAAGGCCTCAAAGGTTAACTAGAACGGTAAATAAATTAAAAAAATTTTTTTAAATTAATTTTTAATTTTAAAAAAGGTAACAGAACAAATGTTTGGAACAACTGATTTGGGTAATTTTAAGGAATAATTTAAAATTAATTTTTTCTTAAATATTTTTATAGGAACAATAAACATTCAACGAGGTCGGGATCACGGGGTAGGTTTTAATTTATTTTTAAAAATTTGTTTAAAACATCCCCTAATTGAATAGCAATAAATAAGATTGAGAAAGTAATAATTTAAAAATGAAAATAATTTTTAAAATAATATCAAAAAAATTTTTTCTAATTTGCGGACAAAATTCTGTCCGCAATTTTAATTTGCGGACAGATTTTCTGTCCGCAAATTTTCAATTTCCAAATTTTCCAAAATATTTTTCTTTTAATCATTCTTAATATTTTTAGCTGCCTTCATATTTACGTTTTCGACAACTTTGTGGATTACCTGGGGCATCGACTTTTGATCATGTTCTTTAAATTTTTTTAAATTAATTTAATTTTTCCCTTCAAACAGTTAAGCAGAGAAATATTAAGTGTTGAAGCTAGAAATAATTTACAAAGAATTTATGGATCTCCAGGTTTTTGGAAAAAAATTGTGAAAAAAAATTCTCTAAAAATTTCTAGATAAAATTGACTTTTTTGTTGGTGCTTTACTTGAGGATCCGGTTGTTAGGGGGCTTGTTGGGCCTACTGTGTAAGTTTTTAAACAAGAGACTTTCTAGAAAAATGTTTTAAATTATCCTTTCTAATAGATGTTTGATGGATAATGTTTGAGGCCTTTGAAATAAAAAATAATAATGAATAAGTAATGCCCTTGAAGGAAACCCTTGAAGGATAAATGAGAGGTCTAGAAAGGTTGTTAGATAGAAACTAGATAGATAGAAACTTTTTATCTCATAACCTTTCTAGTTTTCTCAGTTATCCTTCAAGGGGTTTCAAAGGCCTCTAATTATCCATCAAACATCATTTTTTGATTCTTCTAGTCAATATTTTTTCCAATATTTTCATTTTTTAGTTCATTTCTATCCCAGGTAAACCTAGTTAGATTCCTAGGTATTCATAGATTTGGGATTGATTCCAGGATAGATTTCTTTCTAATATTTCATTTTCCAGTTTCATATTTATTGCAGGTTAAACCCTCTATTACCCCTCAATTTATCCAATGAGTGTTTTTTATTTTTAAAATTTCAATTTAAAGTGCTTGTGTAATTGGCCCCCAATTTGCCCGTACAAGAGACGGTGATCGTTTTTACTTTGAAAATCCTGGAATATTTACAAGAGCACAGCTAGCAGAGATTAGACGTTCTTCATTAGCTAGAATTGTTTGTGATAATGCTGATGATATTAGAATTGTCCCGAGAGAAGCTTTTAGAACTGGACCTCTAGTTTCTTGTTCAGAAATTCCTCAAATGGATTTAACTAGATGGAGGGAATTTTAAATGGAAGGAAGGAAGATTTGTTTGCCAGAAAAAAAGATATCGCTCAATTTTTTTTAAATTTTCGTTTTTTAAATATATTTACTAAATAATTTTATATATTTTTTTATTTGTATTGATATTTTAGAAAGAAAAAAAATTCCGGTGAAATTAATTTGAGAATTGATAAAAAAATAAAAGAAACGTTAATTAGATGGAATATTAGTAAACTAATAATACAGATAAACCCATTTTGTGAGTATCGAGATCTTGAAATTGAAATGAGTTATGGGCCTAGTTCTTTGAAATTTTCTCTTATCATCCATAAACATGTTCACTCAATTTTTTGTAGATTTTTTGCCTGGGTGAATCTTTAGTTATGAGTAGGGCTGGGAAAAATATGCACGCAAAATCGCCAAATATGCGCATATATATGCACCGAAAAACCCCAAAATATGCACCAAAATATGCACTAAATATGCAGCAAAAGAATGGCGAAAATTTGTTTTAAAAATCAATTTTTTACGTATAAAACACTATTTTGGCCTTTAAAATTACAATTTTAGATTATCTCAATGAAATTTTATAAACATTGAATTTTCGCAAAAAAAATTTTCGAAAAAAATTTTTTCTCAAAAAATTTTAGAAATTTTTTTTCAAAAAATTTTTCTAAAAATTTTTTTAGAAAAAAATCCAAAAATTTTCAAAATTTGACCAATTTTTACTAAAATTTACCAAAATATGCCGAAATATGGAGCAAAATATGCAAAATTTACCAAAATATGCATCGATATGCAAATATGCACTAGAGGGCCGAAATATGCAAAGATATGCATTAGGAACCGGGTCCTAAAATGCTCGGACCAATGTAAAAATACCATTTTTGAGCTTCTCTCATCAAGGCATATCCGCATACAAAACATGCATTTGCATGTTTTTCCCAGCCCTAGTTATGAGACGTGCCCCTATCTTTTTGTTGCTTGAAAATTAGGCTACTTTTTTATTTCAGTTTGGACTCGGTAGTATAGAATATTATTCCGGCAAAATTTATACTCATTAAATAGAGAATTAAATGGAGTATCTAATAAAATAAAAAATTTTTCCTAAAATGAATTTAAAACTGAGAAAATAGTCAATGAAAATGGTTAATTTTCATTTCAGTTACTCATGCCCCTATCTTTATGTCGATGACTGTATATCATGGATCTTGCCGGCATAGGAAAAATAAATTCCCAACTTTCGGGAATCGGGTGGCCGGTTATCTAAAGCGGATATGTAGCTATTTAATTCCTAAAGCTGTGTAGTAATCAGTCAGATCAATTGAAGATGCTATTCGCCCTCAGATATTCGACCGGATTTTAATGCCAGCTAGCCAGAATAACCTTTTGCAATAACTGAAGGAGATATAGCCCGTTTAAATTAACTGTTAAATTAGCTTTACTTCCAATAAATCTTCTTTATTTTCCTTTTATCTACTTTTTTAAAATTGGTTTGCAACATTCCCTAGTTATTAAACTATTCAAATTCCCCTTCTCTTATTCTTTTTATTCATCAACTAATCCTTTTCGGCATTTTTCGGCTCAAGAAGCAAAACTCTTGTTGGCTGCCACGAAATATTTTTAAAAAGAAAAGAAAAAGTGGGCGTAAAGAAAAGGAAATGAAAAATACTAGTAAATATATCGATCCCCCCCCCCCTCTCCCGTCCCTAGCTATTACTTCCTCAATAGCCCCCCAACGTGTTCCCGTCGCTGCTTGTTTGTAAAAGAAAAATTTTATTTTATTCAACTCTTTCACAGCCGCGAGCTTCCATAAAAATATGCATTTTTCCTCCTCATGAGTTCATACAGAGACTGCCAATAAATTTTTCTTTATATTTTTTAATGCCAGCTAGTTATTCTTTGCCTTGGCAATTTTTCGATATTTTTTTGTGAAAGTTTTAAACTGTGCTGCTGCTATTTATTTTTAACTACTACTCTTTTAATAGAAGTGGAAAAGGGTTTATAGAAAAAATTCCTCTCAAATACCCCAATGATAATTTTTTATTTAAATGATTTCATCGTTTTTCTATTAAATATTTAAATATTTCTATAAGGACAATTTACTGACAGACAATTTACCGCTTAAAAATCGGTCTGTTTTTGTCCTACAAATTTTCCATAATTAAGTGTCTAAATTCAAATTATATCCCCTTTTAATCGAATGAGAACCTACAGCTTTTTTCTAGGAATCCGGATTAGGTATACTCCTTTTTCTCTCATACAGTATCATTTTACAAATCATGGGTGGCGTTGAACTGTCCAGTCGGTGAATTGTCTGACGGTAAATTGTCCCATGTTTTATAATAAAATGCTGGTAATTTTCTGAGTTTAAAACAATATGGAGGAGAAATAAATCTTGTGACTCACCATCGCCTGATCTATTCTGTGTATATTTTTGCTGCCATTTTAACTTTCATGTCACCCTGCAAGATCAAAATAAATCAAAAATATCGCTGCTAAAGTCTAATTAATAATTAAAAGCGGGCTCAAAACCAGTTTAAAATCTATATTCACTTTTCTTTTCGTTTCGCAAGTTTTTATTTTTTTTATTCCAACGTTTTCTAAGGCTGCGTTGTTTCTCGTTAAAACGAATTTTAAAAGAAATTTAATTTTTGGGAAGCCCAGACTCTAATGTCCTGGTGATCTTTTGGGTAGGCTATGCCTGGAAGCTTTTTTTCTAAAAATTTTTTTTTCAAATTAAAATTTTCAGAGATTTAACTAGTCGACTTATTTCTTTATTTTTTGTGATTTTCTCTTCTATATTAAATATTTAAAAAATGCAAACTCTCGAGAAAATTGCGCATGCCCAAATGCCTTTTACTTCTGGCGGACAAACAATTACTGACAGATTTAATGCTGCCAAACATTCTTTGGCTGGTTCTCAATTAGGCAAAACTATTTGTAAGGCTACTACTGAAGAATTGATGGCACCAAAGAAGAAACATTTGGACTGTTTGTTTTTTTAAATAATTTTTAAAATTTTTGCGGACAACTTTTGCGGATAAATTTTTGCGGATAAGTTTTTATAGTAATTTCGTGGGATTTTAAGAGGGTTCCCTAAGGTCATGGGTATTTTTAAACCACTACGAAATTAATCTAATTTTAAAAATTAATGTAAAAAATTAATAGGAGATTCACCCATTTATGTATAAAATTTTTTCTGTATTCGTCCGCAAATTTTTATAGTAATTTTGTGGGATTTTAAGAGCGTTCCCTATGGTCATGGCTATTTTTGGACCGCTACGAAATTAATCTAATTTAAAAAAAATTTTTAATGCGTACAATAGACATTCATTATTTAAATTTTGTTTAGCTCTAAAATTAAGTCAAAATTAATAGGTGATTCACACATTTTATTTTTTCCGAATTTGTCCGCAAATCTAAAATTAACAAACAAAAATTTTTAATTTTTAAAGACTTACTTCATTGCACTAATGAACCTAACGTTTCTATTCCATCAATGGCCAATTTATTAATTGAGAGGACTCAAAATCCAAATTGGATTGTTGTCTACAAAGTTAACTTTTAATTTCTAATTAATTTAAAATTTATTTTTGAAGGCTTTAATTACAATTCAAAATTTAATGTGTTATGGAAACGAGGTTTTTTTTAGAATTTTCAAAAATTTTTTAATTTTTAAAGCGTTTTTCTCAATATTTGGCTTCTTGTAATACAACATTTAATTTGACCAATTTTATGGACAAATCGTCTTTGGGAAGTGATGCTATAGCTGCAGGTTGAATTTTAATAATTTTTTAAAATAAGGGATAGTCACGAACTTTGACTAAAAATTTTGGCAAATTTTTTCTTCTATTTGGTAGAGGTTGGTCGATAGTTCACTGCCAAAATTGTTTTTTTGGTCCTCTCCCCAAAAATATATTGACACTGATTGTGAGTTCAAACTTCTGCCTTTAAGACTAATTTCAGTTATCTCTTCTTTACCCATTTATACCCTTATTTTTCATTACAAGTTGTGACTTTTCCTTGTTTAAGGTTTGCTAAAAATTTAACAAATTTTAGTTTTAAGTGTATATTTCCATTCGAAATTTTTCGAAAAAAATAAATTTTTAAACCAATTTTGATTACTTTAATATTTTTTATTTCCGACTTACACTTTTTTTTGTAATTTTTTTAGAATTTATTTTTTAATTTAAAGTTAATCCCCATAAATTTTTAGATTTTTTAATTTAATTAGAGTTAATTTCCTTAAATTTCAGGTTATGATATGGCAACACATGTTCGCCGTTATGGAAAATATATTTCTGAGAAAATCCATACTTATCGCCTCTGTGCTTTTGACTTTTGTAAAGTAAAACGTGGAAGGGATGATGGACTTTTGAGGACTTTATATACTGACAAATTACTTAAAACTATGCCTATTTTGCAGTCGCAAATAGATGCTCTTTTGGAATTTCAAGTTTCTTTTATTTTTTTATTTTACGGGTATTCTTTTGTGGACAACTTTTTTAAATTTTCGTTAAAGCATTTTCTTTTTGGATCCGAAAAATTTTGGAATCCTTGAACGAAAGTTGTGGGAATCTCGGTTTACTGGTCCCTAGAAAAAATCTCAAAACGCTCAAAAATATCGAAAGAGCAATTCTTATTTTTTTTCTAGGGATTCCCAAGTTTATTCCCATGTTTATCGGGGTCTCGGACTTTCCCCGGCAATTCTGTACAATAGCGGATCTATCGGGTTTGGAACTTTTTCGGTTTAGAACCTTTGTCGACTTTAACTGTGGTTTTTTTGATATTCAAATTTGAATCTATCATTTAAAAATCTTAAATTTTTTATTTTTCAGGTGACCAGTTCAGAATTAAATAATAGCGTAATCAATTGCTCTTTTATTTTGCTGTTTCGAGACTTGATTCGTTTATTTGCTTGTTATAATGATGGAATAATTAATTTATTGGAGAAATATTTTGATATGAATAAAAAACAATGTAAAGAAGCGCTGGATTTGTATAAGGCTTTTTTGGTTATTTTTTAATAATTTTTTTATATTTTTGATGGATTTTGAGACGTTTGACCTTTTTGCGGCGTTAAAATTATCTTTAATTATTTTTTTTTATTTTTTCAGAATCGTTTAGACAAAGTCCAAGCATTCCTTACAATTGCTGAATCTGCAGGGATTGAGCGTGGTGAAGTTCCTGATTTGACTCGGGCTCCAGCTTCTTTGTTGGAAGCATTAGAAGCTCATTTATTTCATTTGGGAGGTGGACGTGGAGCTCAACAGCCAACTTTATCTCAATCTTCGGCTCAACAAGTTTATTTTAAATTCTTTTAAAAATTCTACAATATCTATCCGAAAAATATTTGACACATTAAAAATCATAAAGAGAAAAATTTTGAAGGATTAAGATTTTAAAACATACAAGAAAATCTATATATGTATATTTTATTGTAAAGTTTACCCTTCGAAAACCATTTAATCTTTTTTTTTTCATTTTTGGTGTATTTTTCGAAGAAACTTCTATTGCCTTTCCCAATATTTTTTTGTAACGTCAAGAATACCCATTTAGACATATTTTCGGATAAATTTGCTGATTTTTTTGGTTAACCTTTAAATAATAATAAATTATTTTTAAAAGATTGTTTCTCAACAAATTTGTTCTGCCCAACAAATTTATTCAAATCAGGCCCAATATCCATCCTATCAAGATTATAGTGTAGACGAATCTGTTAAACAGCGTTATTTGGAAGAAGAAAAGGAGCGTTTACGTCAATATGAAGAACAAAGACGTATTCAACTTCAACAACAAGGAGGTTTTTATTTAAAAAATTTTTAGGGGGAATTATTATTTGTTGGTCGGGATTTGTTTGAAAAAATTTTAAATTGGGTGAATTTACTCTTTTGAAAGTGAAGTGAATTAATACACTACCATTTATTCTCTCTGACTTCAAAAAATATTTTTGTTATTTTTTGACTAATTTAATTTATTATTTTAAGTTTTCTAAGTTCGATAAAAAATAAATAAAGTAAAAACTAAACCTATATTTTGTCTAATATTGTCCAAAAAAATATTTTTATTTTTTTAAGTTCCAACATCGTCTGGACCATTAATTGACACAAACAATCCTTTTGGTGGAGGATTTTCTTCAACCCCTTTACAGCAACAATTTCCAATTGCTTCTGATCTTCTTATGTTTGATACTCCACCAAAAGGGAATGAGGGAGGAGGAGGGATTTTATCTAGTAGACAACAAGATTTAGATTCTACCAATCCTTTTGCTATGGTGGCTGAATTAAATAATCGAACTCAAACAGGTTTTTTTCGTTAAATTGTTTTTATCAAAATTTAGGCTAAGAATAAATTTAAAAAAATTTCCAAAATTTTTTAAGATGGCTACCTCTCAATTTTTTCTTTTAAAAATTAAAAATATTTATCAAAAAAATTTGCTTCCCCATGCCGGACTCGAACCGGCGACATCTGCATGTCATATTGCTTATAAGTACAGCGCTCTAACCGACTGAGCTAATGGGGAATACATGAGAAAATTCTAAATTACCTCTTTTAATTCATTCGGGAAGACTCTCTTTCGAGACATTTTTATTTTTAATGATGCTCTCGTCTTCATTATTTGCGTTTAATCGGGAAAAAGAAATTATATTTGTTTACTAATAAAATTAATAGAAAAAAGAGAAATTAAAATTAGATAAATATTTAAAAAAAATATATTTTGTAAATTTGGGGGGTTTTTGAAATTTTTTTATAGAAAAATGGGAAAAAATAATTTATTTTTAGGTTAAAAAATAAAAAAAATTTTTTTTTAATATTCAAAATAATTTTCAGTTCATTCAACACCATTTAATGGAGGTGCACCACCACCTTTAGACAATCCATTTTTAAATTATCCACCCCAACCTCCATTAGTTCCTCCAATGATGGCTCCAAATCCTTTTGGTGGTCAAATATATCCTGGACAACAACAACAAAATATGAATAATATGACTTCTACTACACCTTATTGGACTCCGCAAATGCAACAAATGGGTGGGGGAGGAATGTATCCACAATTTGGTAAAAAAATAATTTTTTTTTTAAATTTTGGGTTATAATTTTCCTTGTGGATTTTCCTTTAAACTCCTTTTGACCCCCCATTTTTTCAATAATTTATAAATAATTTTGTTTTTAGGTGTCAATTCAACTACTGCTGGTTATACAACTGAACAACCTTCTTCAATTCCTCAACAACAACAACCACCTCAACGTCCACCATTACCACCCCAACCACCAATAAATAACGGAATACAAAAAACTGAGGCAGAAACATTTTCTCATTTAGTTGGAAATTTTGGAATTCCTTCTACTACAACAACTTCTGGTTTTGCTCCATCCTTTACACAAGCAAATAATAGCAGCAATCCTTTTGGGGGTTAGTTTTTTAATTTAAGAATAATAAAGGTTAACTCGAAAATTATATTGTACACATCGGGTGTAGGGTACAGATCCTGTTGGCTTGATCCCTGGTTTATAGGAACAGGTCAAACAATTATACCGTAAATCTTCTAATGAAGCACTGTGTTTCAATTAGAAGATTTACGGTATATATTTTTGGATAAGCTTGTCGGTTCATGAAAAATCGGGATATTCGGAACAGAACTAATTATCAAATTTTTCAGTTTGGTTCCAGCCCTAGTTTTGAGTGTATTTATATAACCCTTACAAAAAATAACTAGTAGAGGAAATTCTTTAAATTTTAATTGCCTTTAAAATTTCCAATTTCGAAAATTTACAAATTCAAATATTTTTTTCCACAAAAAATATTAAAACCCTTAATTGTAAAATCATATTTAAATTCTCTGCAATCATTTTATTCCTCTTAATTTGACTGCCCCCAATGATTAGTTTGTTCAAGTTGGGAGACTTTAATATTTTGATTTTTTTAATTAAAAAAATTTTTTAAATTCAGCACCGGTGACTTATCCATCTACCAATTCATTTTAAGAGAGAGATAATTATTGTTTGAAGTAAATAATTAATTAATAAAAATATAAAGGAAGAAAGTAAAATTCAAATTGACCATAAATATATATTTTATTTTTAAATTTATTTGTTAGAATATTTTTTGAAAATTGGAAATTGCCAAGGAAAACATTGAAATTATTTTTCTATTTTTAATTATTTAACAGTTTTTATTTGTCAACAGACCAATTTTCTTATTTGACATTTTTCCTTTTTTCTAAACTTTATTTTTGTAATTCTCTTTATTTTCTATACTATTTAGAGATCGCAATATTTTTGGAATTTAGTAGATTCTCTCTATTTTTTATGGGAGGGTAAATGCTGGGATAAATTTCTGTCTCCATCCCTAGTTGAGGGAAGGATTTTGGACTAGTACTTATTTTTTTGTTAATTTGTAGTCGACTATGGTTACCTTTTCTTGTGTTGATACTAGATATCTAGATTTTTGAAAAGCCCAGGCCTGTTCCTGGTCTTTGGGTTTAATTTATAGAGCTGGGCCGGATCCTGGGCCTGAGGAAAAACCCAAGCCCAGGAAGGAACCGCGAAGGTCAGAAAATGCCTGGACTCTGGGTACGGCAAAAACGTAGGCCTTGGTCCAGGCCCAGCTCGATCTCTAGTTGACATTATTTTTGGAATACCATAAATATAGATGACATCCCAATGATAACTAAAGTCAATAATAAATATTTATTTTAAGTTCAAAATTTAATAACTAAAATTTCCGGTCTCTATTTTCTTCAAATATATTCTACATAATTGTAATTTTGGCCCTAGAAATTAAATTTTTATTTTTCGCCCAACCAGACATCTTTTTGTTTGTGTATTTTCTTCCCCTTTATTTCCTTGACTTAATTTGTTTAGTAAAATGAATTAGAGACTTTGTAAAATTTAAAAATAAATAAAGAGTTGTTTTTAAATAATTGGATTGATAATTGTTCTGGATTTTGAGGCTTAGTTTATTGATACATAGATTTTTGGGATTGAAGTAATGGAAAACATGAAAAGTGGCTGTTTAAAGTAGGGTACCCTGTTTAAAGTAGGGTAGGGAATTTTTTTTAGGGAAGGCAGGGAATTTCCCTGAGAAAGGAGAGAGGTCTCACCCCAGAGCGGCTTGTATTCCCCGCTGTTCCCGTTCCTGTAAACTCAACCTCCGCCCCGTTATATCGAACCCTAGTTTAAAGAACCTCCCAATGGACTTTTTCCAGAACAGAGGAACAAGGATTTTTCAGTTTCTGTTATTCGAGATTTTCCAAGAACAGGCTACCCTATTCATAAACCTTAATCCAGCTTTATATTTTAGCTGTTTTTTATTTTATAAAAATATTTTAAAAAATAAATTTTTAGTCTGCTTGTTGGTCATACTTTTTTAATTAAAAAATAATTCTTAAAAATTTTTGTTTGTAAAAATATTTTTTTGAATAAACTTTTTAAATTTTAAGTTGGAAATAAAATTATTGAATACCTGCTTAATTAAGAGAAGAAAAAAATTTTTTTAAATAAAAATAGTTTTTGAAAGAAAAAATAAATTTATTAAAGAATTAGCGATAAATTGGACTGCGCAAGTATTTGTTTATTTAAAACTCTGTTGACAACTTCCTCTTTTATTTTTTTCTAAATTTTTATTTAAATTTTTTTTTATTTAACTCAAAAATTCTTTTTTTTTTCTTATACATAGGGGTAAAAAATAAACAAAAAATTCGACCTGTTTTTAGCATTTTCAAGAAAAACATTAAAATTAACGAGATATGCTTAAATAAAGTAGATCGGGAGCAGGCCAATGTACCACGAGCCTAATTTACCGCCGAGCTATAATTTCTTGACGAGCTGAATCGAACCATACCAGGGCATCCCGAATTCAACCAAGTCTGCGGTACATTGGGGTGTATCCAAAGTAGATCGAGTTGGATATGTTTACCAAATAAGGATCTAGCTATATAAATTTTCAAGAATTTTTTTTTAAAATAGTCAAAAAGCTCAATCATTTTTTAGCATTTGTTTTCCTTCTTAGTTTATTTTAATTTTTAAACTCCTTTCCTTTCCCCCGTTTCAACATTAACTACCAAACTCTAAATAAAAAAAGGTTAAACAGTAGCTTTATTGACACTCTTTTATTTAAAAAGATTGTTGCCATTTAAAATCAACAACCAACCAGTAGTGAGTATATAAAAAATATTTTTTAGTCAATGCTTTTTTGATGATTCAACCAAGTTACTTTAAAAGGTTTTTTTTCTTCATTATTCTTCATTTACTACAACTAAAAACTAATTCCAATCCCAATCATCCTCATTCATTATATATACTTTTCCAAACATTTAGTATATATAAATATTATTTGCAACAACAAAAAGCTGCTATTTTAAGGGAAGATATAAATATAGTAAGGCTCTGGGGACTTCCGTTACTTGAGCAAAAGTTTTAGAGCCGTGGCATCACTTGATTTCAGGATGATCACTTTCTTACAATATTAAATTGTATTAGGATCTCTTACTTGTAAGACCTCACTACATTGCTAATAATCTTTCTCAGACCCGGACAATCAAAATTTTGAATATTTTTATTAATTCTGGGGCGATATCCAGAAAACGGGGTAGAAGAACTTCCTACCTTCCTTACTACTTCCTACCCCTTCCCCGAATGAACAAACCTAGAACCTAAACAAATTTCAGGAAAAGGGAATCGAGAAACTAACCGAGAAAATAAAAGCAGATAACTCAATCTTTTTATTGTTCTGTATAATAAAATGTTAAACTCCCGCCCAAATTAACTTATTTTCAAGCCTACCAAAAATTTACTTTATTTATTACTAATTTATTTGTTTCCAAAAATAATTTACTGTAAAATAAATTAGGTATTCGAGAAAAAAACAATAATAATAGAAAATAAATATTTATAAATCCTCTCCAAAATAAATATATATTTAATTATTTACAGTCTGAAATTTTTTATAGAATTTTTGTACAATTAAACAATAGCTGGCCGATCATTTAATAAAAACAAAAACAATCGAGAAAGGGAGAGACTTTTCTTTTAAAAATACAAATAAATATCTATTACTTACCTATATTTTTCCTTTAAAATATTTTTGCCTGCCGTCAAAATAATTACTATTTTTCTTTTCCAAAATTTCCCGCTTTGTTTGCGCAATTGTCTTTTTTATTTTTTACTAAAAATATTTAATAAAACAATACAAATATATTTTACAGTTATAAATATATAAATGTACAAATTAAACTTGATTCAAAACAAATGTTTTGGAAAAAAGGTTTAAATAAAAGCTTTTTTCAACATTTAAAATATTGTTGTTTTAATCGTTAAAAACATATTATAAAACAAGTTTAATTTTTTAAATTTTAAGGTTTATTAAAAACATTTATTAAACTTGTTTCTGAACAAGTTTTATTCCAAGTTTATTTTAATGTTTATTGAAATTATTTAACGAACATATTTTATTAAAAATGTGGGACACGCCCGAAATGTCGCGCGGCCATAATGTCGCCAAGCCATAACTTGCTTTAAGATTTCCGAA